ATGTCATTTCGCATCACATGTTTCAGTATTTGTTAAGGGAAGAATTTTTCATTACTGAATTACTCTTTTCATTACTTTTTTCATTCTTTTATTTTAACACATTTTAATCGGGTTTTAATCATTTGCATTATTTATTTTATTTTATTTTTATTTATTAATGTTTATGCAAAGCACTTTGAATTGTCACTGTGTATGAAATGTGCATAATAAATAAACTTGCCTTGCCTTGCCTTTAATGTTAAAAGTCATAAAAACAACAAATGAGAGATTGAGAGTTTTTGCAATTTAGGAGATTCTTCCTGAAAGCATAAATGTACATTTGATCTTTTGTGAAATATCGCTGTTTTTCAAATTTACAGAAAGAGCTATGTTATTCCAGGATGTCATCTTTGCTGCTGTCTTCTTTGCTTTTTATCCCTCAGGTAACTTACTCTCTCTGCCAGCACTGTCTTTCTGTTTATTTATATATAACTGCTATTTAAATTAAATTAAATTAAATTAAATTAAATTAAATTAAATTAAATTAAATTAAATTAAATTAAATTAAATTAAATTAAATTAAATTAAATTAAATTAAATTAAATTAAATTAAACTAAATTTAATTTAATTTAATATTTATTTTATAAATGTATTTGTATTTTTCTTTTAAATGTCTTTTTTTTCTGTATGTAATGTTATAATAATCGTAAAGTTCAATTCCACAGTGTGGTCCGAGACTAATTTTTCACAGAAACTAGTCATGCAAGAAAAAAAAATTATCAGAATTTTATTTTCTACTATTAAAACCTTTAATTTTATTGCCAAAATAAGCATATTATAAACAGCATGCTTTTAGTTATGTTCCATATGTGCAAAATTTGCAGTAAACACAACTGTGATGTGTTAAACGGTCTCGTTTCTGAGATGTCATTGTGGTAAAGTGTGCGGTTTGATTATCAGTAATTATTATACATGTAGGGATGCAAACTCATCAAGGGTGCAAATGGTGATGTTTATGCAAAACCCCCATATGCATGCATGAGTACAGTTGAAGTCAAAGGTATTCGCAGTCCTGTGAATTTTATTTTCTTTGTCAAATATTTCCTAAATGATGTTTAGCAGAGCAAAATTTTCACAGTACTTCATATAATATTTTTTCTTATTTGTTTTATTTCAGCTAGAATAAAAGCAGCTTTTAATTTTTAAACCATTTTAAAGGTCAATATTAGATGCCTCCCTTAAGCAATATATTTTTAGATTGTCTACAGAACAAACCGCTACAAAGATTTGCCTAATTACCCTAACTTGTCTAATTAACCTAATTAAGCCTTTAATGATGATGATGATGATGATGAGCCTTTATTTGTCACAACACTGGCAATGAATCATGTTACTCCAGTTCATGGTGTTTCTGAATTTCTACATACAGTATTAGAACATTTAAATAAATTTTCAATGCAATTTGCAAAGCTTTTTATTTATTTATTTATTTTCACAGGAAATGCTCATGATAAAAACTGGGTGCAGCAGTGGCCGAGTAAAGTCTACAAAACACCAGGAGAAAACCTCACCATGTACTGTCAGACTCATGGAGGTCTTCAGAACGCCACGTGTTTAGTACAGTGGTTTATCAAGAACAGCAATGGGAACTTTGACAGCATCGATGAGTTCATACAGTTTAGAGAGAGATATACTCAACACAAAAACAAAACGCATTTTCACCAAGGCTTTACTCTGATGTCCCTACAGCTCAATGACACCGGCAGGTTCCACTGTAATTACTTGTGCAAAAGTAACAGCACATATGAACAGTACTATGGAACCGGGACGCAACTTTTTGTACATTTAAGGATCGAAAATGTGTCCCTGAGCACTGCACTTTCTACCTCTGATACTACAGGTAAGAAAAGAATTGTGAAACTTATTTCTTGCCACTGTTTTCATTATTGCTAAGTTGATTACCTTCTCTTTTTTTCCTCAGAGGGATTGGAGGATGAATCCAGAGCAAGCATGTTTTTCCAATTTCCCATTTTAATTGTTTTATTAGCTAAACTTGTGGTATTTATGTTTATGACTTTTGCTGCACTTTTTTCTTCACATTAAATCTGACTCTTCTGTTTAACTCTGTGCAAGGCAGGTTTATTTAAATGGTAAATTTCCTCATTATTAAGTGCTTAAATGACATACTTTAGGGGAGCAATATGATATGAATTTGGTATAAACAGTATTGATTTTAAATAATCAAATAATATAAAACTTGCACAAAAGAGTAGGTAAATGTCAAAGCTTAAATTAATAACTATTAAAATAAATACATTATTAGGAAAGAGGCTTAGTGGTTAGCACTGTCACCTCACAGCAAGAAGGTCACTGGTTCCCAGCTGTGTCGGTTGGCATTTCTGTGTGGAGTTTGCATGTGCTCCGGTTTCCCCCACAGTCCAAAGACATGCGCTACAGGTGAATTGAATAAGCTAAACTGGCCGTAGTGTATGTGTATGTGTGAGTGTGTATGGATGTTTCCCAGTACTGGGTTACAGCTGGAAGGGCATCCGCTGTGTAAAACATATGCTGGATAGGTTGGCAGTTCATTCCGCTGTGCGACCCCTGATTAATAAAGGGACTAAGCCGAAGGAAATTGAATGAATGAATGAATAATTCGAAAGAAGAGTATACAAAAGTACTGTATGAATGTAATGAGAAATCTTAAAAGTTTGAAGTCTGTGAGGTTATATTAACATTTAATGTAGTTCATTTGAACTATTTATCAAACAAAGCATTTCTTTTGAGCTTTATATTCATCAATAAATGCAGGAAAAGATATATTAGTTTTCAAAAAGAAATATTAGAGAGCACAAGCTAACTTTTATCCAAGCAATATCTTTCTGCATGGTTTTAAAGTTAATATAACTACAATGATCCTTGAGAAATATGAGAGGTAAAGTATGGCAATGTGTTTCAGTAAGAAAATTCACAAGCAATGCTAAAAAATAAATCTTGATTTAATAATAAATCTTCAAATAATATTCAAAGTGCCCTTTAGTTGTTCAGTTTAATAAGAATGGAAGATCTGAATCATTGCGGGGGCACTGCACCCACGCAGCGAACTGGCCGGGCATTTAATGCACTGCCTACCCCATTTGTAGGCCTTTTAATAATACTGAAACCCACATTGCCCTTTAGTTTAATGCAAAACATGAAGCAGCTGTTAAAGTCTTTAATAATAGCACAACTTTTATTTAAATATGTGTGTGACTACATTCACTGCATGCCTGCATTTACAGACATAAGCAATTACCAGAAATGAAAAATACATAACTCTCAGTATTTAATCAGTTGTAGGATGAATATTAATATGCAACCATAAATATATTTTATTAACCTCAACCAATATCTAAATAATAAGGATACTAATAATAATAATAATAATAATAATAATAATAATAATAATAATAACAATAACAACAAATATGGCACTCACAAGACAGAAAGAAATGGCACATCTGTATTTTACGTTGTATTAATAAAGTATACTTATATTAACAAGTCACTGAAAAAACTATATCAAAAGTGGCAATTACCACAATTGCAACTAACATTGGTCTCAATTTAAGCAAATACATAGTGTTATAACTCACCTCACTAATTCCTGTATACAAGTAATAATCCAGTCTTTAGCAAAATATTTTTTAAACCAGCCTGAAAGGAAAAAGCAACATTTAAATTAATGGATATCTAACTAGTCGGCCATTAAAAACAAACTGTATTTTATAATATGATTGACTGAACATTTTACTGTCCAGTATGGCTGTATATTTTTTATCAAAATAAATTATAATAATTAATATATATATATATATATATATATATATATATATATATATATATATATATATATATATATATATATATATATATATATATATAATTTTCTTTTTTTTTCTGTGAATGTGCAAGCTTGATTTCTGGTTTAGTAACTGCTGAATAACTAAATTATTGCAATGATAAACCATAAAACTATGTGTGCTACAAATCAATGCGTTTATGATGAGCATGAATTAGCTATAATAATGCTCAAATCATATTTGCAAAAACTACTGCTTTTTGTATAGCTGGAAGTGAATGACACCGGAAGCCACACACATTCGTGTAGTAAAATGGCTGAGTTCAAACACATAATAAAATAAGCTGGATGAACATGGAAGATATTATGAGGTAGCCTAAAACTTTTGTCAAAAACTGAACCTGAAAGGTTTGTACATTTATTTTGCACTTGTAAATACTTTGATGACATTTGGAAACTTTTGGTTAGTTATTGATTCATTTTACAAAATAATTAACTTAAATTAATGCATGATAAAAAAAATAAATAAATATAATAAAAAAAAAACATTTTAAGTTGTAAAACTGGCCGTGATATGCTTGAGTGCATCAAATTTGATCACATTACATGTATAAATTCCTCTTGCAAAGGTAATGTTTATTACTCTATCCTTCATATTTTTTAGTAAAGATCTAAAATAAAACGTTTTATAATTCTTTGACCTCATTACAAAAAGGAGAAGAATATAAGGACTTCTCTAATAACAAAGAAAAAAAATCTGTACAATTTAATACTGTAAAAATGATGTTGGCTATATAAAGATAACCATATGGATGCCCGTTCACTTTTATGCATGCTGTGCATCACTTATTTTTTGTATGACTGTTACATATGTCATCTAAAATGTTTTATGATTATTACTCTTTCTTTTATTTAACATATATTTTTCCAAATGCTTTCTTGACAATGTTGTGTCCGACATTTTGTGTATTTGTAATGGCCTTTGTAGTCTTTCTATTATAGTTAATGCTATTGTTTATTGTCTTATGTTAAAAACAAAATAAATAAATAAATAAATAAATACATACATACATAAATGAATGGGCCAAAATCAACTCACCACAAGGGGGAGACGTTGACCTTTAGTCTACAGCGTTTCAGCTTCGCTCTTTTGGCCAGAGAGAGAATGGAAAGACAGAGGGTGAGAGAGAGAAAGAAAGAGAGAGAGAGAGGTCATATGACAGGGAGGAGTGAGCTCACTATCAAAACACTTTCTCGTTCATCTAAAAATGAGTTTTCTGAAAGTCCGACGAAGACTTTTTACCTACTAAGTTTTGAAGACCTCGTGACTACACGACGAGTTCAATGCCTGAGTCTTCAACGGATTTAGCACAATGATCGCATCTTGTGATACATCACATGTAGAAGGGAACTGTAAAAAGCTTCCAGACAGTACTAATGGACCGGTTGGAAAGTTTAAGGGAATGAAGTGCAGCCTTTCTGTGGGGAGTAACGGCATCTGTCGGTCGGTCGCACCTGTGATCTCACCTGCGTCTACGTGCGCGCGCATCACTCTACCTGGAGTGATGGACGCGGAGGGGCGAGTGGACGAATCCAGACTCAGGACGCATATATTCAAAAACGGTACATACTTAAGAATTCATAAATGTTCCAGAGGTGTGATCTGTAACGAAATACATATATACCTGAATATAATCTGCCATAACACCTAGAACAACACCCACCATTAAGGTAAAGTTGATTTTATGTTTTATATATATATAAATATATATATATATATATATATATATATATATTATAAATTAAGACTTTCACCGTCATCATTTCAAAAAAGTATTATTTGCAAACTCTAAATAGTGAAATTGTGTTATCAGCCGATGACTATCAAACTACAGCATTGTTCAGTCAATTAAATAGTGCTACATGTTGTATTCAAGTCATCCTAGCATGATTTCAGGCCTAATATTCAAAGTAGTAATATAGAAACCTTCCATAGAGATAAGCATGTGATGTTTATATAGTATTATCTGTATTAGCATTTTTACATTCTACTTTACCAATTTAATAGGTTAATGTCCTCGTTAAACCTCAGTCCACCCTCCAAAGGTGTAAGCATTGTTTGAAGTCACAATAAAATATAATAAAATGAAATATAAAAAAAAATAATAACAATGACAAACAGTTATTATATGTTATATGTTATTTTGATGGTAATTTTTTAGACATCATGTTAACTCAAGTAATTTTGCAACAATCCCAACTCTTAGAAAGTTGTAAACTAATTGAGGTAAAGAAAGTTTTATATTTGCACATTCTTTTTTTTAAGTGACACAGGGTTCCTCCATTGTATACCATGAAACATTGAATATTGGGTCTGAATTTGCACAAAAAGTAAGTAGGCTACGTCTTCAAAACAACATTAGCACTATTTAATTGACTGTGAACAATGTTATGTGCCAATAGTCATTGGCTAATAATATGATTTCCCTGCTTAGAATTTGCAAGCAATACTTTTCTGGGATGATATTATTAAGGATAAAGACAGAATGTGTGAATATAAAACCAACTTTACCCCAATTGTAAACAAAGTCACTCTATAAAGTCAGTATTGGGTCACATAATTACATAAACACCTTGACATGTCAAGTTTACAGAATTACCAGAATTTTCATGAAATGTATACTATATAAAATAAATATATACTGTACAAGTATTTTATCCAAAATGTAGCTGTCTTGCTTTAAGGTGTTTCTTGAATGGTAGGAAATATATTATATTTGATATTTTTATTTTCATTTTTACAAGAAAATAAAAATGGAGGTAATGATGAATGATCACCTAATATTTTGAGCAGATAAGTTTAGTTTACCAGAATTACAAATTCATCACACATTGTGTAATATCCAGGTTTCAAGCAACTCAAATATGGGTTAAGTATTGCAACTCAAAAAGTAGCAACAATGGGGTATATGCAGGGGCAGACTTAACCAATAAGCAAGGTAAGCAGTAAGGCCCCAGGGAATTAGAGGGCCCCAACAAATGCCAAGAAGCCAATATTAATCATATAGAACTTTTATAAATTTTCTGTCATGTATTGTAAAATCTGTCGATGACCATTTAGGTTATCATTTAAGGTCATTACTTTAACGCTTTTACAAAACTGTGGACCCCATGATTGATGGAATGTTCCTTTCACACTGCGCATTCAAATATTAAAATCTAATCACAAATATGGCTAATTAACTGTCCATAATTACTTTATGAACTTGTTTTTTTCATTTGTGAATATACTGCATTAGATTTTACATTAAAAAGATATAGATTTCAATTAAAATAGACAGTTGAAGTCAGAATTATTAATATTTCTGACTTCAACTGTATTTTTAACATGCAGTTTATTTACAAAAAAAAAAAATATATATATATATATATATATTTATATATATATATATATATATACATCTATAGAGAAAGAGAGGATTTTGAGTTTCAATGCTAAGGCTGCATACCTGGAATTGCTTAGGGCCCCCAAATCACCAAGTCTGCCCCTGAATATATGCATAGCTGGTTCTTTTCTGCCAATGATAAAGTTCCGGTGAAAGCTTAATGTGACTATTTTAAATTTTATAAGGCTTGTTTTATAGCATTGGTGTTGTAATGTCATTAAAATACAATTAGTTAAATAGACTTAAGCATTCATTTAGTTGTTTAATCATAAAACGAGATGAAAGACCGTCAGGCTGGCTGGCTGAAATTAAAAGTCTGTGTGCATATACCCCATTATATATCTTTAACAAAATATAACTAGCTCAGTTTCTAATGAACAGACGCTGACTATATAGCTATACATCTGTTTGTTTATTTGTCGATGTAGGTAATCACTGTAGTCTCTATTCATTCATTCAATACCATTTTATTGCACCCAAAGGGAAGCAACATCTAAAAGTCCTAGTTTATGAAAGACATTCATAAAAGAGTAGTGTGAGTGTCGGGAATCTGTAGCCTTTGTCAAGTGATAGTCAAATGACGTGTTTCCCAAGACAGATGAAGAATGGCTTTAGAGATGTAGAATCTGTACAGTGAAGAACTCCAATCATAAGACTCATGTTAACAAGATTAGTCACACTGTAGATGTGAATACAAACAGCATGGCTGCTAGATTAATTTACAAGTGTCATACATTAGAGTTGTGGATCTTTTATTAGCTGTTTTTATGCTTTTTTTTAATAATAATAATCTTATACATTTTCTTTAATGTTTTTGTATCAGAGTTTAGCTTTTTTTTAAGGTCTGTATGTCCCTAACTTAAAAACCTCTAGTCTTGTAACTAATAGTCTTATAGCTGATATACACAAAAGATTATAATTAAACACTATTTATAAAAAATTGGTTTAATCTACCTATTTTTTAAAAGAATGTACTCTAAGCTTGTTGGGTTAAACCATGTGATGTTTTTATGTTTAGTTAAGATCTGTGTCTGCAATTAGATTAAATTTGATTAGATTAATTACAACAGAAGCACAACCTTAGATAAACATTTTATTTCGTAACATTTTGGGTTTAAACATCATTGAATTTAATTTATTGTTTTGAATTGATGGTTTGTGTCAGTGATCAATGTAAGATTTTAGGGTGGCGTAATATCCGAATGTAATTCTTTTTTTTCTTTTTAATTTCTTTTTTGTGGCTGTGATTTAATATATTTATTCATAGTCTAAAACTGTTAAAAAGTTTAATAGAAATTAATTTTCAGAAATGCATAATATTCTATACAGCTGAAGGCAAAATTATTCTTTTTCAAACACTTTCTAAGTGATGTTTAACAGAGCAAAGAGATTTTCACAATATTACCTATTATATGTTTCATTCATTCATTCATTTCCCTTTGGTTTAGTCACTTTTGTCGTCAGGTGTCACCACAGTGGACTGAATCGACAACTTATCCAGCATTTTTTTATGCAGCGGATGCCATTCCAGCTGCAACCCAGTCTGGGAAACATCTATACACACTCATATTCACACACATACACTACGGACAAATTAGCTTATTCAGTTCACCAAGAGCATGTGAGCAAACCCACGCAAACGCTGGGAGAACAGGCAAAACTCCACACAGAAATGCCAATTGACCCAGCCAGGGACTTGAACCAGCAACCTTCTTGCTGTGAGGTGACAGTACTAACCACTTAGCCACCGTATCATCCCATTATATTTATTTTTCTGTAAAAATCTTTTTTTCTTTTTTTTTTTGATTGGCTACAGAACAAACCACTTTTTTTTTCAATGATTTGCCTATTTAACCTACTTTAACTTGCCTTGTTAACCTAATTAACTTAATTAAGCCTTTAAATTGCGCTTTAAGCTGAATTTTAGTATCTTGCACGAAAAAAAGTAAAATATTATGGTTTGTCATCATGGTAAAGAAAAAATAAATTAGTGATTAAAACTATTGTTTAAAAAATGTGTTGGAAAATGTATTTCTTTCTCTTAAATAGCACTTGGAAAATATTTGAAAAAGAATTTATAATAATAACTAACAATTTTGACTTCAACTTTAAAGTTATTTAGTCAGCCTATGTTTAGTTTATTATTTTGAGTGAGTGATTTTTTTCATAATCGGCCCAGTTACATACACAGCACACACACAAACACACTAGCGGTGTACATTCATTTATTCATTTTCTTGTCGGCTTAGTCCCTTTATTAATCAGGGGTCGCCACAGCGGAATAAACCGCCAACTTATCCAGCAAGTTTTTTACGCAGCGGATGCCCTTCCAGCCGCAACCCATCTCTGGGAAACATCCACACACACACACACTCATACACTACGGACAATTTAGCCTACCCAATTCACCTGTACCACATGTCTTTGGACTGTGGGGGAAACCGGAGCACCCGGAGGAAACCCACGCGAAGGCAGGGAGAACATGCCAACTCCACACAGAAACACCAACTGAGCCGAGGTTCGAACCAGCGACCTTCTTGCTGTGAGGCGACAGCACTACCTACTGCGCCACTGCCTCGCCTAGCGGTGTACAAAATATTGCAAAATTATTGTTATCGCAATATTGTTATATCAAATATATCACAGACGTTTAATAAATTATGTTTATTTTATGCATTGGTTGTTTTATCTAAATTAAGATGGTGCAGTACTAACTTTATCCCCACCGCCACCATAGTTGTTGTTCTGCTATTGGCTGCAGTGGCCCAAAGCTGAAAATGAATACTAATGGCGGGAGTCAAGACAAGAGAGGAAAACGACAACATTTAATCAGAGTAGCTGAGGTTTTCTCATTCATAGTGTTTAAAAGACTAAATGTTTGCACACTGACACAATTTTTTATTCTGATGTAGAATTAATTAGATCTAAAAAAAAAAAATTTACCTGTTAATTTTAATATCATTAATTAAATAAATGATTTAAAAACATAGCTAATACAAATAGTATTTTTCAAGGGAAATGTTTTATCATAAAAATATCGCAATACATGCATTTTTCGCATATTTTTCCAGTATTGTGCACACAAAGAGAAACACAGACACACACAGTCTTACGACACAAGCATGTGGCACAAGTGTGTGATGCAAGCGTGATTACATCAGTAGCTTTTACTGTACAAACACACATCATGATTCACAACAGTCAGCCAGTGTACAGTATCTCCTGCTGGGCTTCTGACCTCCAAAACACATTCCTCATACTCACTGGCATGAGAACTGCAAAGCGAACAAATTACATAATCAGCTGTGGAAGAAGGGGATAAAGCTGATAGAGAAGAGGATTAGAGGTTGTTTTTGTTCGATGCGGACCCTCAGACTCTTGTGAGTTTGTTGGGAAATGTTGAATTACAAATGCTGTAATACTCTATTTTAATACTGTAATTCCATGCAGATGTTGATGTTTTACTTGTTCTCTTTGGTTCAATAAATATCTTTAAAGTGATGCAACGACATGCTGGTATCTCAACTGTGCTGATGCTCTTTTTTTATTCAGTCGTTGTTTAAACTGTTGATTTGCTTAGTGCTTTTTCCAATTATTTGGACAATGTGTACTGTAAGCACAATGAAAATAGCAACTGATGCGAATAGTAAGTGTTATCTAATAGATAACTTTAAACAACCCAAATCACCCCCCCCCCCCCCCCCCCAGGAGTGTTTCAATAAGAATAATAAAATCTATAATCTTGCATTAGAATAAAAGGGGCAGTATTCACACAAACTTTTGTCAAAAAAGGTCTTGCCACAAGTATTCCTATGTAATTTTTTTATGCAAATTTTAAACTAATTCAATAAGTCAACTAAGATCTTATGTTATAACCTGAAACTATATAAAACTGGTGGGAATTTCTGGGCTTTTTGGTAGAATTGTTGCTGCCTATTTGAGGTTTTAAACTTGTTTTTAAAGTTTGATAGAAACTTCATTAACACTATTGCTTGACATACGGCTTAATATGCAAAATATCGTCATTACAAATATGAGACTGCAAAAAGGTTTGAACAGTTTACATTACATTTATTCATTTCAGAGACGCTTTCATAAAAAAAAAAATTATTGAACACTTTAATATAGGGACTAATTCTTACTGGCTTTTTAACTGCCTAATAGGATATTGGCTGTTTATTAATACTGAAGAGGTACATATTCTGCATGATCAATGAAAATCTCTCCCTCATTAGCATAGGATATATACTTGTTTTTAAATCTTCCACTATGCTGACACACAGGCATTTGTAGCTCTGCCCTCTTTTGAAAAGAGCATTTGGATCTCATTTAAGATCTAATTTGAATTTAAAGCGAAAGTCACCAAAAGGCCCTATTAGGATAAAAGAGGCAGTTTCAATGAGTTAAGAATTAACATAATTCCTATGTCATTTTTTATGCAAATTTTAAACTAATTGAATAAGTCAACTAAGATCTTATGTTATAACCTGAAACTATATAAAACTGGTGGGAATTTCTGGGCTTTTTGGTAGAATTGTTGCTGTCTTTTTGAGGTTTTAAGCTTATTTTTTAAGTTTGATAGAAACTTCATTAACACTATTGCTTGACATACGGCTTAATATGCAATATCGTCATTACAAATATGAGACCGCAAAAAGGTTTGAGCAGTTTACATTACATTTATTCATTTCAGAGACGCTTTCATAAAAAAAATTATTAAACATTAGGATTGACATACGGCTCTTATATATATATATATATATATATATATATATATATAATTTTGTAACACTTTAATATAGGGACTAATTCTTACTGGCTTTTTAACTGCCTAGTATTAAGATATTGGCTGTTTATTAATATTTAAGAGGTACATATTCTGCATGATCAATGAAAATCTCTCCCTCCTTAGCATAGGATATATACTTGTTTTTAAATCTTCCACTATGCTGACACACAGGCATTTGTAGCTCTGCCCTCTTTTGAAAAGAGCATTTGGATCTCATTTAAGATCTAATTTGAATTTAAAGCGAAAGTCACCAAAAGGCCCTATTAGGATAAAAGAGGCAGTTTCAATGAGTTAAGAATTAACATAATTCCTATGTCATTTTTTATGCAAATTTTAAACTAATTGAATAAGTCAACTAAGATCTTATGTTATAACCTGAAACTATATAAAACTGGTGGGAATTTCTGGGCTTTTTGGTAGAATTGTTGCTGTCTTTTTGAGGTTTTAAGCTTATTTTTTAAGTTTGATAGAAACTTCATTAACACTATTGCTTGACATACGGCTTAATATGCAATATCGTCATTACAAATATGAGACCGCAAAAAGGTTTGAGCAGTTTACATTACATTTATTCATTTCAGAGACGCTTTCATAAAAAAAATTATTAAACATTAGGATTGACATACGGCTCTTATATATATATATATATATATATATATATATATAATTTTGTAACACTTTAATATAGGGACTAATTCTTACTGGCTTTTTAACTGCCTAGTATTAAGATATTGGCTGTTTATTAATATTTAAGAGGTACATATTCTGCATGATCAATGAAAATCTCTCCCTCCTTAGCATAGGATATATACTTGTTTTTAAATCTTCCACTATGCTGACACACAGGCATTTGTAGCTCTGCCCTCTTTTGAAAAGAGCATTTGGATCTCATTTAAGATCTAATTTGAATTGAAAGCGAAAGTCACCAAAAGGCCCTATTAGGATAAAAGAGGCAGTTTTAATGAGTTATAAAACATTATTTGTAAGGTATTTTTAGCTTTACACACTTACTCTAGAGACATCAGAGACTTATTTTATATAATCTTGTAAAAAGGGACACAATAGGTCCCCTTTAATAACTATTAATAAGCTGCAAATTGGTAGTTTATTGAGCAAAAAGTCATAGTTAATAGTTGTACCTTCAAATGAAGCGTTACTTTTTCCTGTAATTTACAGCTATTAAGAAGGGTCTGCATGCTTTTTGATATGTTTGTATAATACCTTTGAATAATGATGATGTCTGCTTTGTGTTACTTAGGTGGTGTGTCGCCTGATGAGCGAGGTCAGGTATGGCGTTTTCTGTTCAGCATGTACCCCTGCAGCTCTACGGCTCTGGAGCGCCCTCTACTGCTGGAGCAGATGGCGGTGCGCTATCAGGTCATGAAGAGGAAATGGCAACAGCTGCTTCCTGGAGCCGTTCGCTTGCGTCTTAATGGCACTGACGGTAATCAATCATATCCCTGAGAAGAACAAACACTTGTTATAAAGAACGGTTTGCTCTTATCAGTTTTTTACTACTTGCAATAAAAGGTCAAGTCTTGTTATTGAAAACCTGTGACAGATGCTTAAAGGGATAGTTCACCCCCCAAAAAGTGAAAACTACCTATTTATTTACTCATGAGTTGCTTTCTTTTACTAAATACAAAAGATGTTTTGAAGAAAGCTGGTTGCTAAAACCATCAACTTTCTTAGTTGGAAAAAAAATGATTATGGAGGTCAATAGGTGCATTTTTCTGAATATCTTCTTTTGTGTTCGCCAGAAGAAAGCAACTTAAATAGGTTTTGAACATGTTAAGGGTGAGTAAATGATGACAGAAGGTCTTTAGGTAATCTATTACTTTAATTACATATATTTACAGGATGTCTGTAGGGTCTTAAAGTATTTAAAGTTGATAAATCAGGATAGAGAAATTTAAGGCTCTTAAAAGTATTACACAGTCTTTGCTATTTTGCAAGGTATTAAATTGGATATCATTTTTGTTAATGCATTGTATGGATGTATGCTAAAGTTTCCTGAATTAAATCTGCGAATATCAGGATGCAGTGTAGTTAAGAAATCAACGAAATCCTACTAGATTTGACATCATGCTGCTTTGTTTACTGAAGTTATCAAGGCAACACTGTTATTTCTGCAGCTCTATAGGCGCCAACCTGCTGAATTAGCTAGATTTAATAGATTTTAGTCGGTATATGAATAATGTTTTAGTTTTGGATTAGTTTCTTATGTTAATATTTATTAAATATCCTGTAAGTAAAAAAGAATCACACCAGTGTTTCTGGTTGAAAGTTGCTATAAGGTATTAAAAAAGGTCTTAAAAGGTATTGAATTTCCCTCTCTGATTCCTGTGTATACTCTGATTTAAATTCAGTCACAATCTGATGCTTCATGTGTTAAAAAGGCTCAGGTAATGTTTCAGAATTTCAAGAATAAAACTTGTAATATTAAAATTAAGAAAGCACAAAGCTTCTTGTGATTATTGGACAGAATGTAAAATATTTTGTGTTTTTACACAAACTAAAAGATCAATCTTTGGATTTAGGAATCAGCATGGATTAGTTAAATTTTAGGTAGATAAAGCTGTAAGCTCAGTGTGTACAGTGATTAAAAACTGCAGAAATGTGTCATAAAAAGTTATGCTGTTTGTTTTCCAACCTATTTTTTTGGATAATGTGGGATATTGCCAAGGATGAAAATTTCAAGATAAGCAGTCTTAAAATACACAGGAAAAAAATGAGCTGCAGATTTTTTTTTTTAATAGAGTAAACACATTTTATGAATACATACTTTAAGCAAAAATTGGACTAATCGGTGGCCCAGTATCCATGATCTTCTCCAATATCGCTTTATATTATATTAATGTTGTTATTATTTGCAACTTTTATAAAGATTATTTTTATATTTGTTTTAATATTTAATTATTGATATAATAGTCAGACTGTCTAGAAATTAGTTGATGGTTTTATTCTCCTAAAGATATGAAATTAGCAAATTATCCAATATTCCAATTACTTTTGGACATTTAACACCTCTATGGTTAAAAAATACATTATTCTTGAACCACAACTAATAATAAATAAATGTTGTATTCTATTTTCTTTTTTCCTAGCTGAGCTGTTGACAGCAGTGAAGTTTTTTGACCAGAGGCAGGACAGAGAGCTAAATAAACAACAGATTCAGTCAGACGAGACACAAGAGAGATTATCCTTTCTGCAACTGCAGGCTCAGGTAAAACTATAAACAATAGACATATAATGTACATATAATGGCAAGTGCAAGTTACACCCATGTGTATACATAATATGTTATTTTACAGATGACAAATGATTAAAGGAACTATACAGTATATACTGTATATATATATATATATATATATATATATAATTTGGTTGCTAAAATGACAAAGTGTTTCTGTATTACAAAAATGTAATAGAAGGTTCTGTCAAGTTTTGCTTTTATGTTGACTTTAATGTCCAGGTGCTATTTGAAAGGGTAACTTTTGACCTGGAAGAACTTCAGGAGGCCATACGCATCATTGATAAGGATGTTCCTCGAACTGACAGAGATCTTCCATACTACCGGTACAGAAAATGCTATACAGCACGCATGAATATATGAATGAATAAATTTTTTTTATTTATTTATTTTTTTTGACAAAGAGACTCTATAATTTGGACTTACTAAAATATAATTCGGTGTAACGAGTTTATACAGTTAAGGTATTAAAATTGTTAAATTTAAACACTTTCTTTATTTTTATTTTCAAGTTTTGTTTAACAGAAAAAAAATTTGCAACACATTTCTAAATATAATCATTTTAGTAACCAATTTCTAATAACTGATTTATATTATCTTCGCCATGATGACAGTACATAATATTTTTCAAGACAGTATTCAGATTAAAGTGACATTTTAAAGACTTAACTTGTTATGTTAATAAGGCAAGTTGGGGTAATTAGGCAAGTCATTGTAAAATGAGGGTTTGTTCTGTAGGCAATCAAAAAAAAATGTTAGAGGGGCTAATAATATTGAAATTTTGAACATTTTTTTTAATTATTAAAAACTGCCTTTATTCTAACTGAAATAAAACAAACTGGACTTTCTCCAGAAGAAAAAATATTATAGAAAGTACTGTAAAAAAAAATCCTTGCTCTGCTAAACATCGTTTCAGAAGTATTTGAAAAAAAAAAATATATATATATATATATATATATATATATATATATATATATGAGGGCTACTTATTTTGACTTCAACTGTATATTAAAAAAATCTTGTCAGGCAGATTTAGAGCTGGAATTATTTGATGATAATTCTATTTACAGCCCCAAAATAATCATTAAAAACACAAAAGAAAATGAATGGTTGTATTTTATCGCATCTTATCTTTCTCAGGTTGTTGTGTATTTATGGCACTCATTATAAGAATTGAACATTCACCATGTTGGCCTCGTTTTTTTCTCATTTTCTAGAGAAAAACTTCCTTGTATTCATTTCCCTGTTCATCAACCATGATTTAAAATTCATACAGTTAGTACTTGAACTAATCTAAACTCATGCTGGTGACATTTTAAATTCAATCACTCACATTATTGAGTTATTGACATAAAATGTAATGTCTAAATATTAAATTCACATACACTCAAAGAAAAGAATCACGATTAGGTTATTCATCATTAACAGTCTGTAACCTTTTGATTTTATTTAAATTGTCATTTTTTTAAATGTATATTGTCAGAGAATCAATCTAAATCAGTTAAAATACTATGAATACTATTAGATTTAATCAGTTAAAAAACATATGAATATGGTATAAACATATCTAGCTGTAGAAAAAAAACACATCCAATTAGCTGAATTCTATGGGATTACTTAATATTCAGGAGCAAAATTGATGCAAAAAATACATAATGATACATAAATCTTGTTCTTATTTCTTTCATTTACAGTATGTTTACCTAACAAATATCAGTCATGTAAAGTTTATCAAGTCAATTATGTTAAAAGTATGTAATCCAAATTGATGGAAATTTTATATGCAATCAGAATACATACATCTCATTGGTTAGGCCTAAATATTTTTGGAGTGTACTATGTTCCTGTCTTTTCAAGTTGCATACAATACATTCATTTTAGTTATCAAATAGCACAATTCCTCAGTATTCTTCATTTCTGCTGAAGAAAGTCTATATCAACACGTTCTTTCTCCTGACTGTTTTAAGCACAAGCAGTTGTGAAACACGCGGCTCATTTTGCATCACTAATGTGTGTTGCCAGCAAAAAGCAAACATGTCATTGCCACACCAGTTTATCAAACAACCTTGGAGCTCAATGTAAATAGCACTCAGAATCTGCTGCAGCGTTTTACTGCAGTTAAACAGTAACTAGTTTTGAGCATGGTCAACTCAGCTCAATTTGAATGCATAATTTAATACTCAAATACTTAATAAACACATAATAAGAGCAGAAATGTGCAGCTCTTTCACAAAGATGCAGTGCTGGCCTCCAAGCAGTCATGTTATGAATACAAAAACACCAACTACTATTTAATTAACCTACTTTTTAATGTTTTTGTCCACAATTTTACATTGAAAGCCACATATAAATGATTGTTTGTATTATGAGCAGGTCTACGTGAAATCTGCACCCACAGGAATTAGATTTGTGCTGATTTTTTAGTCCATTAATGAGTGTATTGATTTACTTATATACTGTAAATGTGTGTAAATATGTATTTATTCAGCTTTTATATCAAAGTAATATTGAAGTAATAATACGCTAATGTTTATATGATTTATGTAAAATACAGTTTGTAAAGTAATATTTTCTGTCCTTTAGTTGATATATTATATGAGAAACTTAGTTTGTTATAGATATATGTTTTATATATTAACCCCCATGAATTATTAGCCCCCCTGATTATTTTTTTCCCCAATAACTGTTTAACAGAGAGCAAATTTTTTCAACACATTTCTAAACATAGTAGTTTTAATAACTCATTTCTAATAACTGATATATTTTATCTCTGTCATGATGACAGTAAATAATATTTGACCAGATATTTTTCAAGACACTTCTATACAGCTTAAAGTGACATTTAAAGGCTCAACTAGCTTAATTAGGTTAACTAGGCAGGTTTGGGTAATTAGGCAAGTTATTGTATAATGATGGTTTGTTCTGTAGACTATTGAAAAAAATATATAGCTAAAAGCGGCTAATAATTTTTACCTTAAAATGTTTTTTTTTTTTTATTAAAACTGCTTTTATACTAGCCGAAATAAAACAAATAAAACTTTCATAAGAAGAAAAAATATTATCAGACATACTGTAGAAATTTCCTCGCTCCGTTAAACATCATCAAAACAAATTAAAGGGGGGCTAATAATTCTGGCTTCAACTGTATATTGTTTAATTATCGCACAAAAACACACAGATTTATTTATTTTTTTTACAAAGTTCTGCACAAAAATAGCAGAAAAATGTCAGCTGATTCTGTCTGTTCCTAAATTAGAAGGTATCAAAGTTGTCTCTATTCTGTTTAACTGTGTCTGCTTAATTAAATTAGTCCTTTAAAGTACTTTGCTGAATAAATAGTTTGTAATCTCTTGTGTTTCATCACAGGAATGAAGGTTTGGGTAATCTGCTGGTGTTAAGAGATATCCTGATCACATATGCTGCTTTTCATCCAGGTATGTGCTTAAAAACATGCATGTATACTGTATTTATATTTGAAGGAAGTAAATACTTTACAGAGATGTATTATAGTGATCTTAAATGATTCTTATACAACATTCAGTTTTAAACAAATGCTGTTCTTTTGAACTTTTAATGTATCAAAGTTTTTAAACATTTATAATAATAATAATAATATTTTCCAGTGGTGGGTTGCGGCTGGAAGGACATCTGCTGTGTAAAACATATCCTGGATAAGTCTGCGGTTCATTCCGCTGTGGCAACGCCTGATTAATAAAGGGACTAAGAAAATAAATTTTAATAAAAATATTAATAATAAATATAATTTAGCTTGAGCAGAACACCCAGAAAACTGGAATAATAACCATAATTGCCATCACATAAATAGTATTTTAAAATATATATATTTTTTAAATGGTTTGTTGTGAAGGGGCGACCTCTAGTGGTTAAATAATAAAGTACATTGTGTGGATTTGTTCTGCTACAGTGATGGTTTGTTTCCCAGTACTGGGTTGGAGCTGGAAGAACATCCGCTAAAACATATGCCGGGGTAGTTAGCTGTTTATTCCGCTGTGGTGACCCCGAATAAATATAGGACCAAACCGAAGGAAAATGAATGAATGAATAAATAATGGTTTGCTTCTCTGTCCTCGGCAGAAGTGAGTTATGCTCAGGGCATGAATGACCTGTGCAGTCGCTTTCTGGAGGTTCTCGACTCAGAAGTCGACACTTACTGGAGCTTCTCCTGCTACATGGAAAAGTTTTCCAAAGATTTCCGCGCTGATGGACTTTACCGTAAAATGGGTGAGTTTTCCAATTCATTTAGATTGTTGTTGTTGTTTTTTTCTGGAGAGTTACACTGGGTCAAATTTGTTTTTGTTTTTCATTTCTTGAGAGGAAAATAAAAATGCAGATTGGCTGCATCAGGATGCAAATAAAATATAAAAATCCAAAACTATAGTGACATCAACTTTAAAAAAAACATTTCAAATTAACATAAAGACTAAACATACAGTCAAGCTCAAACTTATTCATACCTTTGGTAAATACCAGAAAAACCAGAATAAAATTTTGACTGGAAATGACACAGGCTTCTCCCAAAAGATAATAAGACAATTTAAAACAGGGCATAATTTCGGCAATTTTTTTTTTTAAATCTCAGCTTTTATCTACTTTTAAACAAAAGCTTTAAGTTGGAATTTGTAGGAATAGGAATATCTTCGGGCTTGACTTTATTTATTAAAAGTGCATATTAGGTTCTGGAAGGCAAACTCCATTTTTTCCACAAGCAAATAGATTGTTTAACAATAACTGATGAACCATTAAATTAAGATGTGTTGCGAGCTTTGAGGTTGTTACCAGATTAGATGTGCTTTTTGTTGAGTCCATCTGTTTGCATTTATTCCACTTATTTTTTAAGCAATAGTGTTTAATAGCATAAGTTGTGCAAAAGACACAACCTATTTTACTCTTCCCAACACCAATCACTGCTCATAATACAGATTTCCTATCTTTTTGTCATGATTCCAATCCAATGCTAATGTTTTTGTTCAATTTTTGCTTGAGTTATGTTGTGTTATAGAAGTTGCTTTGTTTGAAATATGATTTTCAGTATGTTAAACACAAGTCAAAGGCAAGTCATTGGATAACAGTGGTTTGTTCTGTAGCACATTAAAAAATATAAATTTTAATATAAATAATTTTGACCTTTTATATTAACATTATTATTAATTTCTTTTTTTATAAAAAAAATGCATTCCAGCAAAACTAAATCAAATTTAAAAATCAAATAAAAAATGCTGGAAAAAAATGCCCTTGCTCTGTTAAAAATAACTAAATATTTTTCAATTTTGCCTTGGACTACACATGACTCAATATACTTATAATAATGTTGCTGTTGTGATTCACAGAATTAGAAGCTGCTTTACTGAAAGAGCTGGATCCTCAACTACACTCGCATCTCGTCACCGACAACATGGAAAGGCTCACGTTTTGTCACAGGTGTGCTTTGAGTTTGTCTTAAGATGATCTTCACTTTCTCTGACTTCATGCATTTAGTTTTTCCTCTGTCTCTCCTTCAGGTGGCTTCTGTTGGGTTTCCAGCGTGAGTTCGAGCACAGCGATGCTCTGCGACTATTCGAGATTCTCAGCTGTGATCATCTGGAGCTCATCTCACAGCAGGTGGACTGCGTTCGCTATCAGGAGAGACTCGCACGCAAACACAGCCTGGGTAAAAGTCCTTTTCCAAGCCTGTTCCTCTAGCCCTGCTCACACTGTGCAATTTCAGCCACGATTTGGTCATCTGATACAAAATTGGGGAATCTGAGAAGATACCTGTAATCCTCGGCTGAAGTCCTTGATCTTTGATCATTGGTTTGACATGATCACTGATGTATATTAGTGATGAAACAAAGTACTTCTATTATGTAAAGATTAATTAAATCTACTTTAATTTACACCAATAGGATTCCGCTGTGAATGCCATCTTTTGGTCAGTTTTTGTTTCGTATTGTGACACAGTTTCTAGAGAGTGGAATATTAAATGAGAAAACAGTGGGCGTGGCTTGTTTTTTTCAACTGTGTGCTGATTGGATGTAGTTAAGTAGACATTTCATTCAGAGAGATTGGAAAATGGGTTACAGGAGAGTTATTAAAACCTAACAGACACCTCCTCACCATTTCTGTTTGTTGTCAAAACAGTAAGGACAGTCATGGTGCTGCATGTGCTGGGGTATGAATTACAAACACTTTAAAAAGTCCTTGAATCTGCTGTTTGTGAAGTTTGGGAACCCTGGTGAACTCTAACAGTGCAATATGGGTATTTTATAGCTGTTGAGTGCACATTGGTTGTGCATTTGTTGTTGTGGTGCATTGTGGGATTGATTGAGTACACTTTAGACACCACTAGAAAAGGCTGCTCCTTCAAATAGGGCACTATTTCAGAGTATAGGCAAACAGTTTTTGATTGTCTTGTTCAAGTGTGTCACCAGCTCTCCAGGACTATGCTTGGTGACCCCTGTTTTAAACATTTGATGTAATTTATACATTATAGCTGACCAAAATGTCCAAATCATTAGGATCGCCAATAAAAAGGTGATATCAATTTTTATTTTTATTATTATCATTTTGCAGTTTACAGGGCTGGTTTATTATTTGTTTGGGAGATGTCATGTGTGACTAGAAGTGTATAGTAGACATTCAAATGACTTGTTCAAAACTGTACATTTATCTACTGTAGTACATTTGTATAAACTGTTGCTCAGTACATCGACAAGCTTTGCCCTGTTTAAATGTACAAATGTGCTGTACAAAAAGATTTGACTTAATAAACGATCACAGTTTCTGTGATTTTCAGAGGAGGAACCTGTGGCTGATCTACACGCTGTAAACACAGATTTCACCTTTGAACTTTTCATGTGCGCCACCATATTGCTGGAGAACAGAGAGGCTTTACTGAGCTGCAAGAATGAGGTTCAGCTCATACAGTTTACTAGCAGGTGTGTATTAATTATAATGATAATGATATCTATCTATCTATCTATCTATCTATCTATCTATCTATCTATCTATCTATCTATCTATCTATCTATCTATCTATCTATCTATACAGTTATTTATATATATATATATATATATATATATATATACACAGTTGAAGTCAGAATTATTAGCCCCCCTGAATTATTAGACCGCTTGTTTATTTTTGCCCAATTTCTGTGTAACGGAGAGAAGATTTTTTCAACACATTTCTAAACAAAATATTTTTAATAACTCATCTCTAATAACTTTATAATTTATTTTATCTTTTCCATGATGACAGTAAATAATATTCTGCTAGATATTTTTTAAGACACTTCTATACAGCTTAAAGTGACATTTAAATGCTTAACTAGGTTAATTAAGTTACCTAGACAAGTTAGGGTAATTAGGCAAGTTATTGTATAATGATGGTCTGTTCTGTAGATTATCAAGAAAAAAAATGGCTTAAAGGGGCTAATAATTTTTTCCCTAAATGTTGTTTAAAAAATAAAAATTGCTTTTATTCTAGCCGAAATAAAACAAATAAGACTATCTCCAGAAGAAAAAAGATTATCAGACATACTGTGACAATTTCTTTGCTATGTTTAACATCATTTGGGAAATATTTAAAACAGAGAAAAAAAATCAAAGGGGGCTAATAATTATGACTTCAAGATATGTTTCATGAAATTATTTTGTAAATTTCTTACCATAAATATATCAAAACTACATTTTTTACTTTTAAATTTGGTACAGTTTTAAATGTGATTACCCCCCTGTATTTAGATGTATTTTTAACTCCCAGATTCCAGATTTTCAAATAGTTATATCTCAACTAAATATTTTCTCATCCTACCAGTTTATACTGTATATATCAATACAAATTGTATTTCTTTGGCTTCCAGATAATGCATACAGTACATCTCAGTTTCCCAACTTTTGACTAGTCTTGTGGTCCAGGGTCAGATATGTCAATATAAAGTATTTTTTAAAATGAAGAAAGTGACATATAATAAATAAATACAATATGTGATTGCTCGATCTTTCTTTAAGATCATTGTCAGTTGCTTTTAACATTTTGTACATAATACTTGCATTCACTTCTAAGTGTGACTTAAGTGTCTAAATGGATTTTGGGACAACTGTATTCATTCATACAGCACTGAATCCTAATCAAGCTGTACCTGCTCAGTCTACAGGGCAAGCTGGATCTGAACGCCACCCTGAAAAAAGCTGAGGAACTGATGAGGAACTACTGCAAAAGCTCCTCCTGGGACTATTTGAGCGGCCTCTATCGCATGCGCAAAAGCAAAGAGGACCACTTCTTCTTTCATCTCCGGAACCTTTTTTCCTGAGACCAAACGACCTGTGAGGATTTTTCATGGAAACGGTCTGAATGACATGAACTTGTGACTTTACGCTCCAGAAGGACTTTAATTTTATTTATTTTTTTAAGTGCTGCTTTTAATCAGGGTTTTGTACAGGAACAAGAGCGACTTCTTCATAAGTGTTAATATTATATTAGTTCCTGTATTCCATCTTTGTTTTTAAAGAAATAGTTCACCCAAAAATGAAAATTCTGCCATCATTTAATCTCTCCCTCCATTTGTTTTTCCCAAACCCACTTCAGTTTCTATTGATTTCCATATTTTTGTTTCTTCTTTTTTCCCCAACATTCTTCAGAATATGTTTTTTTTTTTTTTTTTAAGTTTAAATGTTACATAAATGTTTAGGACCATTAGTGTGAGTAAATCATTTTTGGGTAAACTGTTCCTTTAGGCTTCTATTGTGATGCCAGAATTAATGTGAGAGAAGTTTTTTTGACATTTAACCTGACCGATGGTATTGAAATTATTTCAGACTGCAAAAATGCTTTACTTATTTTTAGGTTTTGTCTTGTTTTTAGTCTAAATGTCTAAAAAAAATGCTTTTTGATTTCATTTTTAGATACGTAAAAACTTTTAAAACTTAACAAAGCAAACCAATATTTTTAATTGTCTTGAAAATGCTTTTTTTGCAGTGCATTATTAGTAGCATTTGGGAATTTACCATTTATTTGATACTACTGAATTCTATGTTAAATGTAATATGTAAAAACTTAGCATGCAATATCAAATGTACTTTAAATCTGAACAGGATTTTATAGTGTGGAAAAAAACATCAGACAAACAAAAGGAATCATTTCTGCTGATCCAAGCGAGACCCAACGTGTGAGTATTATTCAGTCACTCAAACATCTGGTGCTTGCGTATCGGTGATATTAGAGCATTATATAATAATAGAAATGCAGGCCAAGTTCTGAGAAGCTCTAGAAGGCGCTCTGTGGTGTTGTCTTACCAGTCATACAGCGCTTAAGATGTACTGATCAAAAATAGCACACACTGAACCACGACACCCTGCACTGCGTTGCTTTATATCCTGTAAGAGGCACGATATATCACTAAACATATATACACAACACAAGGAGATATATGGAGTATTGCACGTAATATTTGTTGTTATTTATTAAGAACTGACACATTGTTTAAGTTGTTTTTGGAGAAAGTGAATGGACTGACCAACTATTTTTGGGGGGGAAACGGGTACCGAATACTGTAATTATTATTTTATTTGTCATGCTGTTCTTTGATCTTTAGATTTTTTTACGTTTGCACAGATTGATTATGGTAATTAATGTAGCAATAATGAGACACTGCAATGTTTAACAGACAGATTTTTTTTTTCAATGAGAGCGTGTGTGTGAGAAAGAGAGTGAGAGATACTGAAAGTGAGAGTGAGTGTTTTATTTTAAGATTACTGTGTGACATTTAAGCAGTTAGTTTCTAGTGAGTCACTTCATGAAGAACAGACTCAGGAGTTTAGCTCTTAAATGTTATTGTGAAATAAACTGTGGCCATTTGAATAAATAAATGAATATTTATTTATATGTTGTTTTTTCTAAACAATTTCTTCTGCTGTTGAAGCTATGGTGCACGAAATGGGCTACAAACAAATCAAAATAAATCTAATTTTATTTTCTACATAATTTCTACACTGAAAAAAAGATTTAATACATTTTAAGGTAACTGGTTGCAAATAATTTATATGGGCTGAATTTAAACAAACCACATTTACTAATGTTCAACTTAATTGTTTGCAACCACTTACCTTAAAATATTTAGTACATTTAATAAAAATTTTTCCAGTGTAGCTTTATTACTGTAACGAGGAGACTGACACGGAGGGATCCATTATGCAGTATTTATTAATCACAACTTCACTCAAACACACAATATGCACCTGGGTGCACACACACACACACACACACACACACACACACACATCCACAGTAGTAGTAATGGTTTCAAGAATGACGGTGAACAGACACAGAGTTACCAGGCATGAGTAGTGAGCAGTGAGCGTAAATCAGAGTCCGTGTATCAGGCTTGGGTCAAAGGCAGGCAGCGAGAATCAGAGTCCGTATATCAGGCGTGGGTCGTGGGCAGGCAGAAGGCAAAGCAAAGTAAGAGACAGGCTGGAGTCGTACACAAGAGATCAGGCTGGAGTCGTACACAAGAGATCAGGCTGGATATAACGCTCAGTAATGCTGGCCGGGGCTGAACAAGACTTCGCACTGACTGAGTGTTTGAGTGCGGCTTATATGAGGTACGTGGGTCGTTAACAAGATTCAGATCAGGTGTATGCGCAATCAGTGTAGATGGATGATGTAATGCCGGAGTCCGGAGATGGCGGCCTCTGCTGGCCAGCGAGGGGAATGACCGGGACCGAGTCGGTGACAATTACAAAATGTGTAAGATTTTTAAAAAATCATAAATATATCGCTTCAAATCCTACTTTCGTTATATGATATTTAATTGATTTATTATATGATATCCAACGATTCAAAAAATGTTGATCGAATCTAGTTCAATAGAAAAGTGTGTAATGTGGAAACTTTGAAATCAAAAGTAGGAGTTCTCAGTTTGCTATACGAAACGTTTGCATGTTCTGTGTGTTTGTTTTAAAGAACAGTAGGGTTTTGTTTACTAAACACATCCCTGTTTGGACCTTAAAGTTAAAATGACACCCAAATCGGCATCTAACTAACATCTAACAATGTCTTCCTAAAACACACAACAAATAATTTTCTAAAGCCAATAATAGATGTCAATTTGATGAGAATCAGCACCTCCAAGTCTGAGGCCATGGTGCTCCACCGGACACAGGTGGTTTGGCATCTCCAGGTTGGAGATAAGTCCTTACCCCAGATGGAGGAGTTTAAGTATCTTGGGTTTTTTTTCTTGAGTGAGGACAGGATGGAACGTGAGATTGACAGGCGGATTGGTGCAGCAGTAATGCGGCTGATGTACGGGTCCGTTGTGGTTAAGAAGGAGCTGAACCAAAAGACAAAGCTCTCAATTTACCGGTCAATCTTTGTTCCTACTCTCATGGTCATGAGTTTTGTGTCATGACCGAAAGGACAAGATCTCGTTTACAAGGGGTGAAATGAGTTTCCTTAGCAGGGTGTCAGGGCGCACCCTTATAGATGAGGAGCTCTGTCAACCAGGAGGATCTCGGAGTAGAAGCACTGCTCCTCCACATCAAGAGAAGTCAGTTGATTTGGCTCGGGCCTTTTTTCGGATGCCTACCGAAGGAGGTATTCCAGGCATGTCCCACCGGGTGGAGGCCTAGGGGAAGAGCCAGGACATGCTGAAGGGACTATAGCCCCTTTCACACAGTGATACCGGTAAATATCCGGAAAATTTCCGGAACGACTTTACCAGTAAATTTAAAAAAGCGCTGTTCACACAGGCGAGGACGTTACGGAAATTTTCCGAAAAAGAGCATTCACACATCCATTCCAAGATAACGGTAAATTCTGACATCATTCACCACAAATGAGCTTTAAACGGCTGCGCTTGTATTTGTAAACATTTGACTAAATTACAAACTCTGTGGATGATCAATATTGTGAACAACTTTCGCAGGATCACTTTCGCATGTCGAGATGTTCATAATATGTGCGTGTGCAGGCTGTTTCACAGGTACACGCAAAGCTTGAAGGTAAACAAACAACGGCTTATCATAAGCATCTCATCGATGATTATTTACACAGTTGGCATTAAGAAGAACATATAAACGTGATCTGACTAACTTCTAGCAGCTAAATGTGTCTGGAAAAATATTCAAAGGTTTTTATTCTCACACACCGCGCGGACGTAAATGCGTCTGACTGTTGTGATTGGCTAAAGCAGACGTCTCACATCAGCTTGTTCTAGACGTGCACACGCTTATTACGGCAATCTTCCTTCTGCATTCACACAGCGCAGCATTCCGACAAATTGCCGGTAATGTTACAACTTCTCTTTCCGGAAAATAGCCAGAACGAATTTACCGGTATTTTCAAAAAGGACCTGTTCACACATACAACCGGCAATTTTCCGGAAAGGTCTGTATGTGTGAAAGGGGCTAATATCTCTCGGCTGGTCTTGGAATGCCTGGGGATGCCCCCCGAAGGAGCTGGAGGAAGTGTTTACTGCTGGCTCCGGAAAAGCGGTTGAAAATGAATGAATGAATTAATTTGATGTCATTTTAACATCAATTAATTTCTATGCATTATAGGGAAACAAAATCAAGTCTAAATTTGTATTTTTAATTTAATCTTTCATACAAATAAAACTTTTCTAATATAAGCATTCTTTTTGTGTCGTTAGTTTGGTGGTCAAAAGGCTATCAATTGTCAAATAGATGTCAAGGTTTTGACATCCAGTAGATGCATGCTTTTCAACATCATTCTTGATGTCAGTTTAATGTTGATTTGATGCGGGTAAAGTCTAGTAAAGTCTAGAAGGGATACATCTGCAACTGAAAGTTAATATTTATATCATTGTAACAATATAATAATTACTGTTTTTAGATAACTGTGAAGGTTGGGTTATGGGTTGGGGTAGGCGTTAATAAAATACAATTTAATGAATAATATGAATAATACTCTCTCTATATGTACAGTTTTTACATTACTGTGAGGGTTTGGTTTAGGGTTGAGGAAGAGTTAGATCTTAACATGATACATTTTAGTGGGTAACTTAAATAATCTAAATAATCTTGTTAACTTCCTGCTGCAGCTGCATTCCTTTTAGCAAACAACCCACATAGTCACTCACCATGTCAATTTTTCTTATGTTGTTATTATTAACATTTAGATGACCCTGTTACTCAAGAAGAACTGCCAAATCAATATATTACTGTTATAAATTGGAAAGATGAAAAATGTAATTACTAAAGTTGTATAATCTACGCCGTTTAATATTCAGTTATTAATATTAATAGTATATATTTTTAGAGGGGTTTTTTACATCATTTTGGTATTCCAGAGATGGTAACAAATTTATATAAAGCTGCAAAACCAGGTAAAAATCACGAAGAATTGAAAATTTTAAATAAATAAATAAATAAATAACACTTATTTTTTTTTACTACCAAGGTTTCTTAAGGTACTTCAAGGTGTTGCTTGCATGTTTTGAAGCCACATAAGTCTTAAATGCATATACATTGAAAGAGCTATCTGTATTAAGTTTGTAGCTGTCTGATCTCTCAACAAGAAAGTTTTATTCATATAGTAAATGCCTCAGTGCTGAACACCATGTGATGAAATTATCTTATGAGCGCATGTGTGTTTATCTAGCATGCTATACAGATCAACTGGGGTTGTTTCAAGAAGGGTTACAACTGCGGCCGGAAGATAACAATAATTATTTATATATATTTTTTATTATCCATTAACGTCTTTCCTAACCTCAAATCTACTCCTCACTGTAATGCAAAAACAGTAATTATAGCAAGAATTATATATTACTTATTAAATTACCCATTCATTTGTATTTTATTGTCTGCCTCTACCCCAATCCTAAACCTGCCCCTCACTGAAGTGTAAAAATATTCATTATTGTTGTAGTTTCACAAAAATTATGCTATATTGATGTATCCACAGTTGTATCTCATCTAGACTTTCTCCTACACCAGAGATTTTGGGGCAAAAAGTACCACAAAAACGTAACAAAATCTGCAAAAACTAGGTGAGGACTGCACTTATTAAGTCTGTGTCGTTCTCAATAAAGCCTGAATATCTCAATGGATGGAAACAAGCGTCTTCTGTTACTCTAGCCTGGCATTAGCAGCTGGTTGTTAACTCACTGTGCTCTGAATGGCAGGCGTTTGGCTGTGTGTGAAGTGCAGACTGGAACTTTCTGTGGGTCAGGTGACCGGGGCTGGAAATCTCTGCGCTATAAACACACAGGAGTCCAGAGCTTCTGCCTCTGAGTCCGGCAGCGCAGGAGTGCAACAGGCACCAGGACGAGCTGAGGGGGCGAAAAGACATTCATTACAATCCGTTATCTCTCAGGAAGAACTTTTACATTAAGGTAAAGGTTTATTTTTAAGCATTGCACACAGCTTGGCTCATGTTTTTCATTTGAACTATATATATTTTTTTTGGAGTTTAACATTAATATTTTATTGCAAGTTTATAAGTTTTTGTGCAAGAAAATGCATTCTTCTGAAGTGCATAATGGATAAAACTCCTACAAAGTCGTTGTGACACAGGGTAATACCTGATGTACACTGGACTATTAAAAAACTGTGCTTCACAGAGAAAATATGTTGTATTTCAAGAGAGGGGGGAGCCATTTTTGTTATACATGGGTTTAACCTCTATACTTAGCAGAGGGTTGGTTTAATGAGGTCTGAACTTGTGAAGCTTTTAGAAGTATGAATATAGAATTTAATTAATTTTATTCATTAAGTTATTTTATAATTTTTTTAATTATTTTTTCTTATATATTTTCATTTTATTTCTTCCCCCCTTATCTTGTTCACCAGTTTTTCTGTTGTATTTAATGCTTGAAACTTTAATAAATATATTGCAAAAAAAAAAAAAAAAACATTATAATTTGTGCGATGTGGTCTAGATCAGCAGTTTCCAGCAGTGGGGTCCTGGCCCACAAGGAGGCCTCTGCAAGCTCTGTGGGGGGTTGAGTCATATTTTAAAAAAAAAATTTGCAGTGGACAATTAGGAGAACAATCATATTGTCTTATTTCATTTTATCCCCTAGCTGACCCAAAAATGGACAAATAATGGAGTCTCACAGATTCGCTTTCAGCAGCTAATAGTAATAACCCAAGCATACTGGTGAGGAAGCTTCAAATATTTTGGGTTGCAGCGCTAACAATACTGAAAACACAAAATGCAGGAAATACCAAAACAGTTAACTGAACTACGGTTTTATTCCATTTTCTCGAAGCAGTGTCCCAGACCCAGCCACAGTGCATTATCTGCTTCAAAGTTTTTGCTAACGAATGCATGAGGTTGTCCAAATTAATAAGACATTTATAGACGACTCATCCCCAATACCGCAAGGTGTACCCAATACAAATGGCCTATGATGTTTAGCTTTATTAATATAAATTAAGAGCCAGTTTCTGTGCCCAACAATCAGGTTGTCGTAGTCCTAACCTTCGACCACCACTCATTCCACTATGCACCTGCCCCTTACGACTCCCCCTGGTGGTGGACCTGCAGGAGGATGGTCCCACGTCGCTCCTTCAGGCAAAGCCCAGCCGGGTTACGTGGGGAAAAAAAAGGCCACCAGAAGCTTGTATACGAGCCCCAACCCCAGGCATGGATCCAGGGTGCGCCATACCGGGCGACATCACGGTCCTCAATGTAATTAAGTTCATAATGGGTTTTTAAACCGCACTTAGTCTGACTTGTCACCTAAGACCTTTTCGCCTTGGGAGACCCTGCAGGGGCATTAGCCCCTGACAACATAGCTCTTAGGATCACTCAGGCACTCAAACGCTCTCAATTTACCAATCTACTTTCCTACTCTCACCTTTGGTCATGAGCTTTGAGTCATGACCTAAAGGACAAGATCTCGGCCGAACAAGCAGCCGAAATGAGTTTGCTTCGCAGGGTGGCACATCGAGAGAAGTCAGCTGAGGTGTCTCAGGCATCTGTTTCGGAATCCTCCTGGACGCCTACCTAGGGAGGTGTTGAAATACAGTAGCATTGTAGGCGTAATTAAGCAGCTACAACTCAGTTTAAAAACCTGGCAGATTAATTCTTAATATTATGAATATTTGTTATTGGCAGCCACTTTAAACATAATAAATAGTTTAGACATTAACACTGCACTGTGCTTACAGGTAAAAATAAATAAAACGTCATATATTCCTCGGACCTCATAAATATAAGCTATATGTCATCATATTCATATTCATGTTCACATATAAACTCTTTTTGATCAATTTTGAAAAAGATTGGGGTTAAACATAAAATAATTGTATATCTTTGAAATCTAAACATTAACTTGTATTTTAAATATATGAATTGGATTTACATATTTAAATTAGAAATTAGGGTGAAGCATTGGTGCAGTAGGTAGTGCTGTCGCCTCACAGCAAGAAGGCCGCTGGGTCGCTGATTCCTGAGCCTTGGCTCAGTTGGCGTTTCTGTGTGGAGTTTGCATATTCTCCCTGCCTTCGCGTGGGTTTCCTCCGGGTGCTCCGGTTTCCCCCACAGTCCAAAGACATGCGGTACAGGTGAATTAGGTAGGCTAAATTGTCCGTAGTGTATGAGTGTGTGTGTGAATGTGTGTGTGTGTGGATGTTTCCCAGAGATGGGTTGCGGCTGTAACAGCATTCGCTGCATAAAAACTTGCTGGATAAGTTGGCGGTTCATTCCGCTGTGGCGACCCCGGATTAATAAAGGGAATAAGCCGACAGGAAAATGAATGAATGAAATTAGAATTTAGGTCTTCCTTCTGCTTGCTAGAGTAGGCTTTGTGCTTCAGAAAAGTATCAGAAAACCAAGTGAATAAACTATACGTGTCAACATTGGGATATAAAAATACAGGATACGCCCCCAACAACCGTTACAAATATGGGTAGGAATTAGCTTCAAATGATAAAATACATAACAAACATTAGAAAATTACAAATAAATTAAAAGGTTTCACCTATTAAAAATGAAATTACTGATCACATCGGTTTTATCGTACACATTAAAGGGTTAAAACTATGTTCAGTTGTTTACTTTAACTATTTAGTGATTCCTTCGTGTACCATTGAAAGGAAGCCTGCTTACCACTAGTGGTACACAAACCACAGTTTGACAACCACTGCTTAAGTACATCTACCTTAGTGTTCAACAACAACAAATAAACTTAAAGTGTTTGGAACAAGTCAAGGGTGATGATGACAGAATTTTGAAATTCTGAATCTCTTTAAATCTCTTTAAATTACAATGGTCTCTTGTCTCAGGTCTGCTTAAAGTTTTTTTAAAAGTCCTTAATTTGATTTTCTCTGCAAACTAGAGAAGACATGAAAATATTGAACATTGGAGCTTTTTATTTTTTGCATTTCATGTTTCATTCAAATGACCCTTTATAATGAACTGCAATAATGGATTAAATGAAGTAAGCAATGTGCAGTTATAGAAGTTCACAGTCGACAGTTTACTCACACACACACACACACACACACACACACACACACACACACACACACAGTCCTGGTCATGGCCCACAGCCAAGCATGCGATCTAGTGCTTTCTAAAGCAGCTGACAGCACAAGGCAGCATGACTGCAGCACAAATGTGAATGTAACCACAAATATATTACATATAACTTACACATAATTTATAAGCCGTCTCTGTTATGCTTTTTCATATAGTATGTTACCTTCCATGTACTGTGTAAAAAAAAAAAGCTGTTTGTGGTAGTACAAGTTCTGCGAAGTCTCAAAGATCAAAGTGCAAGATAAACTCTCCTGCAAATGAAAAAAAGATTCTTGAGAATTGCCTGAAACAGATCATCACTAATTCCACTTTTGCTTCCTGCAAAAACTATGAACTGTAGGTTTGTAACAAGTTTGCTTAACCCAGCTTATGCTCTTAGTAAGTTGCAAAAAACACCTGTTATGACCCTCAATCACAGTTGTTGTATCTGAGGTCTAGAAGAGCTTGGTTTGATTTACTGACATTTTCTGTAGGTAAATCCCCCTTTGCAAGCATTTCCAACCCAGTGGGCAAGTTGATGTCAAAACAACATCAAAACACGTGTTAAAAACAAGTCAAAAAATGGACAGTCTTGTAATCGTTTTTTTCATGTCGATGTTAGATGTCAATTAGATGTCATTTTGACATTAAAATAGTTTACATTCATTAAAGAGATATGAAGAATGAAGGATCTTTCAGATAGATAAAACTTTTTTTTATTAAAATACTTGTTGTGTCCATATTTCTGTGGTCAAAAGGGAATCAATCTGTGAATGTCAAACGAACATCAAGGTTTTGGCATCAAATTCATTCACATTTTTGAAGTGTTTTTTATGTCAAGCTTAATGTCAACTGTTCTTATTACTGTATAATATGTTCTAGGGAAGCATTTAGAGCTGGAATTCAGTTTCTGACATGCACTGTTACTTAGAGACCAATCAAAACAGATTGAGCTATGATCTGACCAATCAGAGTAGAGCAGCCTCTCAAAAAGATGGAAGGCCCTGAAAAAAGAGCTGCTGCTGTAATTTAAAAATGTTTAGTGACTAAGGATTAATATAAACCAACACTGTAAAATAAAATCTGTAAATATTACATTAAAAGAAAATGGCAGCTGGGGTTGTCAACATTTAATCCTTGAAAATGTCAAAACATTTACGGTAAACGTATTTATAATAAAACCATACACCAATATTTTGATGACACATAAAACTCTGTGCGTAACTCAAGAGAAAAAACTAAAAGAAGAATAGTAATATCAACAAAACATCATAAAAAGTAAAGCGTCATGCAGTGAATTCTGGTAAAGTGAATTCACAGTTATTCACGGTATTTATTAAAAAACTTTCTGTTAAACAGGTTACAGAATTTTACCGTAGTATTTTTAGTTTTTTTTCTGTTGAAATCATGGAGATTTTGCAGGACACCCCATTAACTAAATTATTTCCCACAAAAAAATAGGTCTAATCTAAAAAAATGTCTACCTATATGCATGCATTAAATAAGTCTATAATTGCAGTAGTGGATTGTTATTTCTTTAGACTTGGAACCGTTGAAAAACATTAATGATAGTAATTTCAATTGTAAGTTTGCATATGGAAATAATCATTCTGGCATTCCCGACAAAAGAAATCTCATTGAATTAAAATAATCATTGGTCATTTTGTATCCAGACAGGATGTCAAAAGGTCCAGCAGTGGGTATTGATCTGGGCACCACCTACTCATGTGTGGGAATCTTCCAGCATGGAAAGGTGGAGATCATCGCCAATGACCAGGGAAACAGAACGACCCCCAGCTACGTCGCTTTCACGGACACCGAAAGACTGATCGGAGATGCAGCCAAGAACCAAGTTGCCATGAACCCTTCTAACACTGTGTTTGGTAAGGCAGCAAAAAAAAATCTAAGCAGAAAAAAATTTAAATTAGTGCTTTTGTCTTGATTATAGTCCAAATAACTAAGAATTCCTAAATCAAGAAGTAATCAAGACAAGTAAAAATGATTAGCTAATTTTTTTTCAATTATTTTTCAGTTTCTTTTTGAACCAAGCAAAATAATCTGCCAGTGGGGTGAGAAATTTCTGCCTCACTGTTATAAGCGATAAGTTACTTTAAACCACAGGTGTCAAATCCAGTTCCTGGAGGGCCGCAGCTCAGCACAGTTTAGCTTTAACTGTAATTAAACACACCTGATCAACTAATTGTGTCCCTTAGGCTTTTTTGAAACCTACAGGTAAGTGAAGTGTTGTTAATTAAGGTTGGAACTAAACTGTGCAGAACTGCGGCCCAGGAACTGGATTTTACACCTGTGCTTTATACTAAAGTGAGTAAAGCTATATTGTCTTAAAAGTAACACTTTGAAATCGTTTTTTTAAGTAAGTAAACCTATTGCAAATTGGAAAGTTTAAGTTGATACAATTTTTTTAATTATGCTCAAAGTTCATTTACTTAATAATTTTAGACCAACAGGTTTACACCCTTTTTTAAGTAAACTAGTATTACCCTTTTTAAGCCAACGATTGGCTTTAAAAGAAACAAATTAACTCCCTTTTTAAAGTCAACTAATCATTTATTTACAGAAGTACAGTGCAGTGAGGATTTCACATTTAGAAAATGCTTCTAAACTTAATAACTTTTAGATATTTGGACAAAAAAAATACAAAACCTTAATAAGACTTTTTTTTTTTTTTTTTTAATAATTATTTGTTTTTATATGTACCAGAATTTGGTACACCTTACTTGAAAAGAATCCAATTGTAACGCTACTGTTCTCCACTAGACGGCAGTGTAAGCGCTAAAACATAGGTCTTTGCCAGCACAATTTGATACTATAGACCCCCCACCCCGCACCCACCCTTTTTTTCCTTTTAATTATCTTTTCTACTATATATATATATATGTCATCTTACAATGTTGAATAATTGTCAATTATTCATTAATTTTCTTTTCGGCTTAGTCCCTTTATTAATCTACGATCGCCACAGCGGAATAAGCCCCCAGCTAATCCTGCTAATGTTTTACACAGCAGATGCCCTTCCATGCTTCTGTTTGTTGTCATTTTTGTCTTTGATATGCATCTTCTTGGTTCAACAGATGCCAAGCGCCTGATTGGACGACGCTTTGATGACCCAGTGGTTCAATCTGACATGAAGCACTGGCCCTTTAAGGTAATCAGTGACGGCAGCAAGCCCAAAATGGAAGTGGAGTACAAAGGAGAGATAAAGACTTTCTTCCCTGAAGAGGTGTCCTCCATGGTCCTCACTAAGATGAAGGAGATCTCCGAAGCTTACCTTGGCAAGGTGAAATAAACTACATACTGTAAAGCTTGTGTACAGTAGTCAACATCTGAAGTGGATCAGAAAAGTTTTAAAAATCAAAACTTAAAAAAAGACAAGATATTAAATAATTTTAGAGTCTAAAACTATTGAGCAACACCCATTCTTGTCTTAGGGATCATTTTTAAATGTTGAATACTGTATACTTTCTTTCTGGGCCCTTTGACATGTATAACTGAAGCTTTTCTCTCCAAAATATTTGGTTACACTTTATTTTGATGGTCCATTTGAGTATTAATAGATTGTCTGCTTAATATCTGCTGATACTGGTCCATCAACAGACATTTAACTGGTTATAAGATTGTAAGCAACTTAGCAAGTACATGTCAACTTACACTAAACCTAACCCCAACTCTAACCCCAACCTAGCCGTCTACTTGTAATCTAATGACAATTAGTTGGCATGTCGATGCAATGTAACTTAAATTCAACAAACGGACCATTAAAATAAAGTGACCACATTTTTATGTTTACAAAAACATTAAAAGTCTTTCCCTGGATTCTTCAAAATGCAAACTGAGGAGAATACCATGTTACTATTATTTAATTTTATTTATTCATATTTTAAGATTATATTTGTCAAATTGTGATCGAGCATGGGGTGCAACTTGGGATGCCAGAAGTGCAAGCACAATACATGACCTACCCATGAGGTCACTGGCTCCATATCCGACCTAATTATTAAAAAAGTAAGCCTCTTATTGATCGCATGCTACATTACCAAACCAAAACAAGAGAGAAAGACACGTACTGTGGTGAGGACTGACAGATGTGCAAAGCTCTGCAAACCTGAACCTCAAGCTTCTTATTTTTTTTTTTTACTAACGTCTCCATTACAAGTGGTTTAAAAAAAAAATAACTACAGATTAATATCTGATTTTGCAACGCGTTTCTGGTTTAGAAATCTTTGAAGTTTTAATTGTACCTTCACTGTCTATGAGAGATATTTGAAGATAACACTTGTTATTGCTGGCTGTAGGCAGGATGTAATCTTTATCAGAAACTCATCAAAACAAGTTTGGTTTGGTGAACGTACAAAGTGGAAAAAACTGTAATCCAACATCATCTTTTAAACATGCATGCACAATCTCTGAGAGCAATGCAACCATTACATGGGATATTTTATCCAAAAATATACATTTTCTCACTATTTATAATCTTTTATGAATCTCTTTTTTTCCTGCTTAACACAAAACAAGATATTTCAAAGAAAGCTGAATACTGCAAACCACTGACATCCATAGTAGAAAAACAAATCCTATGGAAGTCAGAAGGCACTAGTTTCCAGTATATCCTTCATTACATCTTCATTATATCTTCTTGAAGAAAAAAAGGACACTTAAACAGGCTTAAAACAAGTTAAAGGTGAACAAATGTTGACAGAATTTTTAATTTGGAATATCCCTTTAATGCATAAACAAACTGTCACACTGATGTTACCGATGCTAATGCTATTATGCTAACAATGCCATTATAAAACGTGCAAATGAGAATTTGATCTTGTTGTCTTTTTAGACTGTATCAAATGCAGTGATTACGGTGCCTGCTTACTTTAATGACTCCCAGCGCCAAGCCACCAAAGATGCTGGAACCATCGCTGGCCTTAATGTCCTTCGCATCATCAACGAACCAACAGCAGCTGCTATTGCATATGGATTGGACAAAAAGGTAAACATTCTGAGCTATCTAGTTTAGGTATTTATATGAGTAAAGATGCTTACAGGGAGAGTTGACCCAAAAAGAAAACTTGTTATTCTTTATTTGTTCTAAGTGAAGTTTATTTATAAACTAATTTCAAGAGGATCACATGGTTATGACTGCTTGAGGTTGGTCCCGCATTATTCAAGTTATGATTCACCAATCAGACGATCCCTAAGCCATTATAAGTACTTTAAGTTCGATATAACAGCCATCTTCATTTTGAAGAATCCATCCTTCCACCCCTACTCCTCCTCTTTTCCTAGATGGGTGGCACATTGGCCCAGTGGTTAGCACTGTTGCCTCACAGTCCCCCGGGTTCCCCGGTTTCCTTTCACAGTCCAAAAACATGCAACCTAAGTTAAAGGGAGGGAGCTCCGGGCTCGAGGATCTTATGAGCCCAGGGCTCTCTGCCAGGACAGCATGCCAAACAAGCTTTATAATCAATCATCAGCTAAGTGTGAACTCTTGAAACCTGTTGGAAATTATTTCTTATGCTGGACATAAATAAAGATAAATAAAATAAAGATATATTATGACTTCCTTAGTTTTTCATATTATGAATGACAATGACTACCAGTGTCCAACATTTAAAAAAAAAACTTCTTTTGTGCTCCACTATGGTAAATGGTAAGTAAATTTAAATTTTTGGGTGAACTCTTCCTTTAACATTGAAATAACACATTGACGTTCATTTGTACAACCTCAATTTTACTAAAAATACCATGGAAAAACTAAGGTTGATAATGCAAAACCATGGTTAGTTTGGGGTTACCATAGTTGACCATGGTAACCACAAATTAAGTATGGTTTACAAATCTTACTATAGTATTATCCTGCTAATTGTAGTAAAACGTAACACTGTGGTTATACCAGGGGTGTCCAAACTCAATCCTGGAGGGCCAGTGTCCTGCAGATTTTAGCTCCAACTTGCCCTGACACACCTGCAAGGATGTTTCTAAAAAGCCTAGTAAGAGCTGGATTCACTAGCCTAGGAGTGTCTGAATGGCTTGGAACTAAACTTTGCAGGACACTTTCCCTACAGAACCAAGTTTGGGCACCTCTGGGTTATACAAACAGAAATGTGACAAAAATTATGGTTACTACAATTTTAGTTTAAGGAATCCCTTTAACTGGCATGTAATATATATTTGAATGAACTTCAGTGCAGTACGGAAGGTTAAAGTGTTGCTTTCCTGTTTGACCACAATTCACCACAGGTCGGTGGTGAGCGCAATGTCCTCATCTTTGATTTGGGTGGTGGCACCTTTGACGTGTCCATTCTGACCATCGAGGATGGCATTTTTGAGGTCAAGTCAACAGCAGGTGACACCCATTTGGGTGGTGAGGACTTCGACAACCGCATGGTCAACCACTTCATCACCGAGTTCAAGCGCAAGTTCAAGAAAGACATCACTGGCAATAAACGTGCTGTCCGTCGCCTGCGGACAGCATGTGAGCGTGCCAAGCGCACCCTTTCATCCAGCACACAGGCCAGCATTGAGATCGACTCTCTGTATGAAGGTGCTGACTTCTACACTTCCATCACCAGAGCCCGTTTTGAGGAGCTCAATGCTGACCTGTTTCGCGGTACACTGGAGCCAGTGGAAAAGGCTCTGCGGGATGCCAAGATGGATAAGGCACAGATCCATGACATTGTGCTGGTTGGTGGCTCCACTCGTATTCCCAAGATCCAAAAGCTGCTTCAGGACTTCTTTAATGGGCGAGATCTTAACAAGAGCATCAACCCTGATGAAGCCGTAGCTTATGGAGCTGGTAAGAGGTTTAACTTCCTATCTACAGTAGATTATAAATCAATTTTGCTTCGTGACATGCTACTAATTTTCACCCCAAAACCCATCCAGCTGTCCAGGCAGCCATCTTAACAGGTGATACATCAGAGAATGTGCAAGACTTGTTGCTGCTGGACGTCACTCCTCTCTCTCTGGGCATTGAGACAGCAGGTGGTGTCATGACCGTGCTAATTAAGAGGAACACCACCATTCCCACTAAGCAAACCCAAACCTTTACCACCTACTCAGACAACCAGCCGGGTGTACTCATCCAGGTAATAGAATAAGTTTTGTTTTAGACCCATAGTTTGTTTGCTTTTGATTAACCAATATCCGTATAACATGCATTTTTAATTCAAAGCTCCTTTAGTGCATGTATGTCAAGAGTCATGTTCACCAGCATATATTCATGGGTGTTATAACAAGAACGTCTTGCTGGTAATGCCAGTTAAAATGTCATTATTAGCATAAAAAAATACAATATATGCTGATGACAAGAAATCCTGGACTGTTGTGGAACATCCTGAACTAGGGCTCACCAAACGTGTTCCTGGAGGGTGGGTTTCCTGTTCAGTTTAGCTCCAACCTTATTCAAACACACCTGAACAAGTAAATCAAGGTCTTACTAGGTACACTTGAAATTTCCAGGCAGGTGTGTTTAAATAAGTCGTGAATAACCTCTCCAGGGACACCGGCCCTTCAAGACTGAGGGTACTTTAACACCTAGACTTTTGTTTCGGAACCTGTTTTGTTTGCCCAGTTAGCGCGGTTCGTTTAGCATATGTGAAAACACCAAACGCGCTTGGATCCACACCAAAACAATCGCTCCGAGATCGTTTTGAATGAGGTGGTCTCGGCTTGATTGAAACAAACTCTGGAGTGGATTGATTGTAGTGAGAAAGCGATACGATCCGAGCCCAGTTATATCACAGTGTATTATGGATATGTAATAGGCATACGGCTACAGGAAGAGAGAATTATGAGTAGGGCGGGAGGTCATTCCAGACATCCCATGTCTCCCAAAAGTTTTGTGAGTCTCCCGCAAATGCACAGAGACTCCAGGATGCCCACAAACGAGTGTTAATCTCCCAGAAATTGCACGTCTCCCTCCGGGTCCACAAATTTGTCGCGCACCCTTCTTACCCCTCCCCACCGCATACCTCCTCGTTCTTCAGACACGTCGCGCGCACCTTGTCAAACACCACCAAACCACCAACTCCCCTGACAGCTAAGCGGGACTCTGCAATAAACCCTAAAACTCTGACCAATGTGAGGAGAGTTTACTCACATGTGACTTGTTTTAGCTCTTTTGGTCTGTTTAGAAACTTTGCTGCACCAACAACAAAGAGCAACAATGTAACAATTTTAATCCCTGTTTCGAAACAACTGAATCGAATCACAGGTGTGAAAGCACCCTGAGACAGATGACCCCTGTCCTTAACAATTAAAGTAGTTACATCTGCAACTATTTGGATTTCATTTTAGTAATCCCACTTTTCTAATCTGTAGGTATATGAGGGAGAGAGAGCCATGACAAAGGACAACAACATTCTTGGCAAATTTGAGTTGACCGGCATCCCTCCTGCTCCTCGTGGTGTGCCACAGATTGAAGTTACCTTTGACATTGACGCCAATGGCATTCTCAACGTATCCGCAGTAGACAAAAGCACTGGCAAAGAGAACAAGATCACTATTACCAATGACAAAGGTGGAACAACTTGTCCTAAACTTGGCTGATTTTGAGGTTTAAAGGTGGTCTCAGTTTTTGCAATGAGTTTCCCACTAATCTCTTCTGCTTCTTTTAGGTCGTTTGAGCAAGGAAGACATAGAGCGTATGGTACAAGAGGCTGACCAATACAGAGCAGAGGATGAAGTACAGAGGGAAAAGGTCACCGCCAAGAACACTCTGGAGTCCTTGGCCTTTAACATGAAGAGCACTGTTGAGGACGACAAGTTGCAGGACAAGATCAGTCCAGAGGACAAGAAAACTATTACTGACAAATGCAATGAGGTCATCTCATGGCTGGACAAGAACCAGGTAGGTTACAACATACATTGCATATATTGCAACTTGCAAGTGAATCTTCAGGTTACACTAGTTTAAGAATATGAAAGATGTTCCTCACCTTGAGGAAACCAAATCCATTTGTGTAGCCACCCAGAGTGAGTCAATAATAAATAAGCTTTTTACACTGCTCTTATCCCTGGGTTTATCATCATCCCAAACCTGTTATTTAACCCCAGTAGAGAAATGGTAGACATTGATAATTTAGAAACCATTTAGCACCATTTTTTCTGAATGCAGAAAAAAAAAATTATACTGACCCGTAGGGATGCAACGGTTCTCAGTAAAAAAAAAAAAAAAACATATCGTCCCGTAGTTCTTCCATGGTTTTGTGGGCCCTGTGATCCACGATTCAGAATATGCATTATTAATATTGTTTTGTTAATGCTTCCAATTCCCTTTCCCATTTATTGCAAGTGCGAAGACCTGTCCAATCACCTCATAGTATGTAAATATGCTGTTGACATCACGTTTCCTCACGTGTTGGTGTGTTTGTGGAGTTTGTGTTTCAGTATGGCAAATAAAGGCAATAAAGGCCAAATGCGCAGGTGAGGCTAAATCACAGCACATTGCCATCAGTGTTTCAACAGACACTCAATATCAATATCACTCAATCTCAATAAATCAATGGTCACTAACAGGTGGATCGAGGTCTCGGTCCAGATCCAGAAGCGTCCCATACGGACGCGGACATACAACAGGTCTGTTACTTCAGTCCTGCTCATTCTGGGTGTTGTTCCACACCCGATCACTCCCACTATTCACTGTTTACCCGCCGTTTGCTAAGAACTGATTTCTTCTCGACTGACTGTTCTCACTAAATTAAGAGAGAAGAGCCAAACACTCTTTCTTTGCTTAAGTTTCATTCTCTACGATGGTGCTAAGGGAAACAAAACTCTTTGGAATCATAATAAAATCATGTAAAAATCATAAATAAAAATGCATTGTTGCATTGGATGTAATCAATACTTTAAAAAGTGCTTAATAATTAAGATGTGTTGACATAATTATTATCTGCAAAATTAATTAAGACTGTTGAGTCAAAATGTAAAATAGATACCGGGGAATTTAAGTCTTTTCCTTTTTATTTTCTTAAGCAATTTATTTGAACCTACAATTTTCGAAATACCCTACTTTAATTATTGCGAGAATATGCAAATCTGCAGTCATATGTGTGAACCTCTTGCATTGTCAGGTGTTTGTTACCCGATAAATATGTTTATTGTTTTTTAAATTATTCTGTAGGCATTTTGTTTCTAAGCATAGCACAAACTGTACCGAAGCCGTGACCCCAAAACCCTGATACATACCTAACCATGAGTAGATTAAGCCGTTGCACCCCTACTTACCTGTATGTCTGATACCTGTATGCCTGATGTCCATTTAGAAAAATGTTTATAATACAGTTTACTATATAGTATAATATCAGACTGAGCAAAGCAAGATCTTTTATTTAAAGAAGTTTCATACGGCTTTCATCCAATCATAGATCTGACAATGTAGATATATCCAAGGTTTCAGTCGTGTACTGTATTAAATTATAAATTTCCAAGATTACTAACCCTTGGTAAAATATAAGTAGAGGGAGACCTACAAAAGGATAAATCAAGTGTGGATTCCCCAGAAGAGATCATTAAGCCAGAAATTCCCAATGTTATTCCTAAAGGTACACCAACAGTCAGTGTTGCCAGGTGTTTGTTTTCCTGCACAGTTGGACTATTTTAATAATACAGTTGCAGGAAAAAACTTTTGTAATGTGCCACAGCCATTAAAATGTTTATTTCTGATGAGTATAAAATAACAACCTAATCGTTTCTTAATGGACACTGATCTCAGAATACATACCTATCAACCCAAAGACCCCTGCAAGTGAGTAAGTGATATAACTGCCCACATATCGATGAACACATCTGATAAAGGTAATGCGAAGTGTTTTTCGGTTAGCGGATAGTCGGTACTTCAACACCTACACAGTATGTACAAGTATGTGTATAACAATACAATAGAAAAGATATAGTAAACCTTTCCCTGGGTTTACTTTTCTTTCCATTTGGTTGGGACTTGAGTTGTAATTGGGCTGGAAATTTTTCTTGGACATGGCAACCCTGCCAACGGTATACAGTTTAGATATCACTCTTATCTAACCCATTTATTTCTGTTCTTGGAGTCTCTACTAGTGAGCTGATCGAACTAATTGTCTGTATTCAAATAGAGTTAGGGTTGATACTTTTGGTGTGACTTCTGAACCATGTTTGGGAAATGTATTAGGCGATAAGCCACTTGGCAGAACAATGAGTATTTTCTTATCTCTTGTGCCACAGACCGCAGAAAAAGATGAGTACGAGCATCAACAGAAGGAGCTGGAAAAAGTGTGCAACCCCATCATCACTAAGCTCTATCAAGGCGCTGGTGGCATGCCAGGTGGGATGCCAGGTGGGATGCCCGGCGGTTACCCTGGAGGGCAAGGAAGTGGTTCTTCCTCTGGTCCTACCATTGAGGAAGTGGACTAACTTTTGGCACCAGAACATCCAGGCTTACACAAAGAAAGAAACCAAACACTCTGCAGCATGTCAAACAGGCTTCTTTTCAAATAGCATTTACTCACATTGGTCAGATATGTGCCAGATGAGACCAACTTATAGCTTGTGACCAAAGCAATAAGGCACCTTCAAAACTGCATTAGCATTTTAGTATCAAATCTGTAATCTACCTGGCTGTAAGCTATTATATCAGAGCTATTATACGCTTAATAATGCGATAATTAGAAATAAATACCAAGCTGAGGTGAGGCCTTGTTATTTGTCCAGTTAGCCGTTATGCTCATTATTCAGTATTTCACAATTATAAGCTTAAGAATAAATTCAATAATTGTTTCCGGTGTGACCCAACAAAAATAAAGCATATTATTTTCTCAATATCTTGTCATGTGTTTCCTTGTGTTTTAGTTCAATAGGATTTATGCCAGAAGGAAATCTATAAGAAGATGGCCTTTAACAAGTAGCCCAGTTCATAAGCAACAGACTCATTTCTGAAATTGAATGCATTTATGAAGAAACATAGTCCAAATAATAGTTGGATTAGGTGATGTCCATTTGTTTTTGTTTGGCTGGTCCACCTATTATTGTCAATATTAATTTTTTTTGTTTCCTCGTATGACAGTTACATTCCTAAGCTCCGCCTAATTGCATGGATGTTGTAATTGGGAAATGTATCAGATACTAGACAGAATATAAAGCCAGAGAGAGTCCTAATGGGAACAACAGCAAGGCAGTAGGTGCTTGTCTACAACAACATGATCTGGATCATTAGCTTTTTGGCTTTTGTGGCTTCCACTCTGGGTGAGTTTTTTTTTTTATTATTATTATTATTTTGATTTAAATATGTAATTAAAAAAGTATAATGTACAGTGAATACAAATCCATACAAAGACTCCAAAAAACACCACAGTAAACAAATTATGTAGTGTAAACACAAAAAGTCGACTCAACTTAATATTATAAGGCAACTTGCTGCTGTTTTTTTTTAGTTGACTTGACTCAACTTTTAACCCAAGTACTATTGTTTACTCGATTTAGGTTGAGTCAACAAAAAAAAAAACTGCAGCAAGTTGCCTTACAATTTTAGGTTGAGTCAATGTTTTTTTTTTACAGTAATGAGCTGTGATATTTGGATTCTTATTTGTCTCATTTTAAACTTTGTTAATAGGTTGTGGTGTGCGTCAGCCATTAGGTTGGGCTGCTAAAGAATCAACCACTAAAAAACCTATTGATGGAGACATTCATGAAGGTATAATGCAGGGAGTGGATGCTCTGCGTTGGCCCTGGCAGGTTTCTATCAAGGTAAAGTTGTTTAAATACAAAATGACTGTTAAAAGTTTGTCATTTTAATTCCCTACTAATGGAATTCTCAATATTTAAACCAGACATCCAGTGGCGAGCATTTATGTGGAGGCTCTCTGATCAACAAATTTTGGGTCCTCACTGCTGCCCACTGTCAAATTCAGTAAGAATCTGTGTGTGTGTGCATGTTTCTCAAGTTAGGGTTTGGTTTTTAGATTACTGCATAATGACATGGGTATTATTTAGTTATGCTCTATTAAGGTGGTTTAAATGTATTATCTCCCTGTAATTGAAAATGCTTAAAAATCATATTTAACAGGATCTTACGACATTCAAAATTAGCAACATTTTGCAAGGGTTGGGTTTAGAGGTAGGGCCATATAATAAATAATTTTTACAGTGTAAAATACATTATGGAGTCCATGCAAACCACGTATAAAGGTGTGTGTACTGATTTGGGTGGTTTAAATGTATGACATGGGTATGACCTATTGTATGTATTTCAGCATTGAGGTGGTTTATACGGACTTATGAGGTTTTATGTCCTTGTAGTTCAAATGCTTAAAAAACATACTTAATGTAGTCTTTTTAAGTGTGTGTGTGTGTAAAATTTTAATGCAGCTCTCTGTCACTGTCTTACTAGGGCTAGAAGTCACTATGTAGTCCTAGGACAACATGACCGTAGCTCCAATGATGGAACAGTTCAGGTCAAAGAAATTGCAAAGGTATCATTTATTTTAATGTGATTACTACAGTGTGCATTTAAAAAAAAATATTTTTTTTAAATTAAACAACACTTTAAAAAAGTTACCCATCAAAATTGTTTGATAAGCGTAAAAACAGTAATATTGTCAAATATTACATATTAAATTTTAACATACATAATTAAATATTACCATTGAAAATGATAATGATTTGATTCTTAAAGAGCATTTCTTATTATCAATGTTGAAAACCCTTATGATGCATAATACTTTTGTGGAAACTGCACTAGATGGATGGATGGATGGAGAGATAGATAGATATTATTTATAAATGATTGCTGCTTTTTTATCAATGAAATACATATTTTCCATTTAACTTGACTTTTTTCTTCCTACACTTACAGGTCATCACCCATCCTGACAACAACATACAGACCTTATTTAACAATGATGTTACTCTGCTTAAATTATCCAGTCCAGCACAAATGACTTCCCTTGTATCTCCCGTATGTTTGGCAAGTTCTTCTTCAAAAATTGTCCCCGGAACTCTTTGTGTCACAACTGGCTGGGGCAGAACTAAAACTGAACGTAAGCCTGCAGTTCATAATGTCTGTGTCAACTTGGCCTATAACTCCTGTATAACAACAGCTGGGTCTTTCTTAATCAAACTCTCACAATATATTTTTTTTGTTCTTTTAGTGAGCGCTCGTATCCTGCAGGAAGCCACCATACCAATAGTGAGTCAGTCTCAATGTAAGCAGATTTTTGGGGCGAGCAAAATCACCAACAGCATGATCTGTGCTGGAGGCTCTGGATCCTCATCTTGCCAGGTAAATGAAGACAGATGTACAATCATACAAATATATATTATAACTTTTTTTAAATTAAGAATTTATGGTTTATATTTTGTAAAACATCATTTTTGTTTCATTCTGAAAATGACTGATGAGATTTCTTACAATTTTAAAATCCAAATGTTGAGATTTGCTTTAGAGCATTTTCATTCTTTCATTCATTCATTCATTCATTCATTTTCTTTTTGACTTAGTCCCTTTATTAATCTGGGGTCGCCACAGCGGAATGAACCTCCAACTTATCCAGCATATGTTTTATTCATTCAGCGGATGCTCTTCCATCTGCAACCCATCACTGGGAAACATCCATAAATACTCATTCACACACATACACTACAGACTATTTTAGCTTACCTAATTCACCTGTATCAGATGTTTTTGAACTTGTGGGGGAAACCGGAGCACCCGGAGGAAACCCACACCAATACGAGGAGAACATGCAAACTCCACACAGAAATGCCGACTGACCCAGCTGAGGCTTGAACCAGCAGCCTTCTTGCTGAGAGGCGATCACAGCAGCCTTCATGCTGTGAGGCGATCATTGTGCCACCGTGACGCCTGCTTTTTTCAAATACTACAAATTTGTACATACTACAAATTTGCTGTACATAAAAGTATGCGATTTCAGAAGCTCAACCACCTGCTTGACATCTAAGAACAAACATTTGTCCTTGCAAAAAATTAACCTGATTGGTTGTCACACATTAAGCAAGCATGACCATATTTAACCTGTTAGCCAGCACTCAATTTTGGGGATTTACACCTACCTAACTTTAAATAGTAACAGTTCCTGACTCCAGTAAGCTACAAACACAAATTATGTATCATTGGAAAGAAGACACTTTGAACTTTACTGTGGTAAACGTTAGCTGCGTGTCATTTCAGAGGCGGCATCCTTTGAAGGAAACGTATGCACATGTCAGAAATCGATGATTGATCAACTGATTATTTGAACCAGACTCGGATATTATTTGCTGATGGATGTTAAAGTGATGGTGTCTTTTACCAATTTTTTCATATGGATTTATTATTAGTTAAATCTATTTTTTAAACGTTAGAGGTCTGGGTGCATACACTTTCAACAGAGGGCATAAAACTTTCAAATTTAATTGACATTATCTCTATTTGTGTTCTGAATATGATCTAATTTCTTATTTGCCACCGCATGAGGTTGATTAAATGATGACCAAGATATGTTAATTTTAGAGTGAATAACCCATAAATACTTTTAAACTTTTACTTTTAAATTACAATACTGATGACTGATGTCTTTCTGTCAAATGCAGGGTGATTCTGGTGGCCCTCTGATGTGTGAGAGCTCAGGTGTTTGGTATCAAGTGGGCATCGTTTCCTGGGGCAACAGAGACTGCCGTGTGGATTTTCCATTAGTCTATGCCCGCGTCTCTTACTTTCGAAAATGGATTGATGAAATTATTAGATCAAACTAGAGCACTAGCAAGTATTTCAGTGATGAAACCATGTCTTCATAACCTACTGTATTTTTGACATGCTACTAAATTGAAAACTGAAAGTACCACATGACATAATGCTAAAGAAATTATTAAAGGCAATTTATATAACACTCATGTATCCACAGTTTTATTACTCTTGTATTACACTACATTTGTTTGTTTTATATGCATACTTTTGATTAGATAAATATTCAGTGAATGATTTTGGGCCTACCTGGTATGCTTTTGGGCCTACCTGGTATGCTTATTTGTGGTAACACAGTGATCAAATCTTGTCAAAATATGTGTCAAGTGGGTGTTTAAATGTAGATAAATATTTTATTTCCCTGATTAAATATAGATATTTTTAAGCATCACATTTAATACAGTTTATTTTCTTTTATTTATAAACTAGAATGTGTGCAGTATATTTTTATGATAAAAAATTAAGACTAAAATGTCATTCAGTGATTTAACCAAAATATATTGTCTGATATAATATAAGTGCAATGTAAAAGCTTAACCAGGTTAATTAGCCAAGTTAGGATAATTAGTTGCCATTGTATGATGACGGTTTGTTCTATAGACAATCCAAAAATTACCTATTGCTTAAAGGGGCTAATAATTTTGACCTTAAAATGTTTTTTGAATTTTTTTAAACTGCTTTTATTCTAGCCAAAATAAAACAGATAAGACTTTCTCTAGGAGAAAAAATATCATAGGATATACTATGAAAAACTCATTGCTCTGTTAAACACTGTTTGGAAAATATTACATACAGTATATATCAGGGGTTCTCAACTGGTTTGGCCATAGGACCCAAATTTTTACATGGTCATCAGGTCGCGACCCAAATTTTTAGAAACTATAATACAATTATAGGAATTATAATTAATTTATATTTATTTGTTAACATACACAAGTACTGACAGATAAATCATAAGAAAATCACATAGACTTACAAATAAACAATATTTTATGGCTGTCATTTAACAAAATGTATCAAATTATAAAAAAAATTACAAACAAAAAACAACAAATACTGTTAACAGTGGTTAGGGTGAGGAAAGATTCAGTTACCATGAACTAAACTGAACATTTCTAAATGTCTTTTAATTCAGACGGTTTAATGCTCTCTTGTGAGAGCATCTTACTACATATGACAAACTGAGACTTTAAGTCTTTTTTGTCATCAAAATATGTATGTCCATACTTTATATATTCGGGGTTGCACTTGCGCTTCGACACATTTGTTGCTAAAATTAAATTAAATTTCACATGTCAAACAGTAGGGTTGTCGCGCATGCATTTCAAAATAAAAGTCCAGTTTAAGCAAAATAGATTAAACTTTTGTTGTTTTTTGACCACACACTCTGCGACCCACTGAAAATGTTCCCACGACCCACTTTTGGGTTGCGACCCACCAGTTGAGAAACACTGGTATATATACTGTAATATACAGTTGAGGAATTATTAGCCCACCTTTGAATTTGTTATTTTTTATTTTTTATATTTTCCAAATGATGTTTAACAGAGCAAGGAAATTTTCACAGTATGTTTGATAATATTTTTTCTTCTGGATAAATTATTATTTGTTTTATTTCGATAAAAATAAAATCAGTTATTAATTTTTTGAAAGCCATTTTAAGGTCAAATTATTAGCCCCTTTAAGCTATTTTTTTTTTTTGATAGTCTACAAAACAAACCATCATTATACAATAACTTGCCTAATTACCCAAACCTGTCTAGTTAACCTAATTAACCTAGTTAAGCCTTTAAATGTCACTTTAAGCTGTTTAGAAGCGTCTTAAAAAATATCTAGTCAAATATTATTTACTGTCATCATCACATGGTCCAAAAAACTTAATTAATTTTCATATAAAATCTTTATATATTTTTTTACTATTCTCTATATTAACAATAAATTTTTATTCAGTTCAAATATAATAACATTTTGTATGATCAAAATATTCTCTTCCTTTTATTCAGTATATAAATGTATGTTACAACGAATAAGGGAATAATTTACACCCATATTTGACATTTTATTTTTTATGACATTTATCTGAAGCTTTAAAATAAGCAATTTGATAAAGACGACATATAGGAATATCTGATTTTCTCAATCCTCAGATGCTTAAATCTGAGTAAAAGACAAACATTAATTCCTGATTATTTATTTATTCTGTACATTTCCAAGCATCTGTTGTATCAGAAAATACATTCTACTTCTCTGCATGTCCTGTTATTTTTCTCTCGGTTGTCCTTGATCATGGTTGCAAAACCTGTGCAGACTATGAGCATTCCCATGGTGTCAGCATTCGAGCGATCGGCGTTTTGTCACCTTATAGACATTCTCTTATAGAAACCATCAGAGTTAAATATCATTTCAGATGAATTTATGGTGTTTAACAACTAAATACACATGCACAAAAAAAGAATGTAATCAAAATGTGTTGAGTTTTAAATCTTTGCATTTTCTTATATGGTATATTTGCTGTTAGATTGTATAGGGTTGATAAGAACTTCAGGTTATAAATTTACAGGTTAAAGAATAAGGTCTCAGGTTTTCTCATTCCTGAATGCATTCAGAAAATATTTGTTTCAACAAAGGCTGGCGAACAACCCTCTTTTTTTAGTTGTTGACCCACTTGATCAATATTTCAACATACTTTTTGTCACTACTGTACTGAACAAGATATGAACGTTCCTGAGCTCTGAGATCCTGCCAGCTGCATGGAAGCACCTTGATGAATTCCCAGTTTTATCAGATTCTGGGAGAATATAAAGCGGAGGTGAGAATGGGTGGAAAAAAACAGCAGGAAATTATAAGTCTCCAAAATGCTCTGGATCATTAGCTGTTTTGCTTTGGTGGCCTCCACTCTGGGTGAGTTTCTTTTGCAGCTTTCAATGAGATGGGTATACTTCAGATAATGCTTTTTTTAGTTTTTTTATTTATTTTTTGTCTAGTTTCTAGTCCAAATATCTCAACATTCTTAATTCGAAGCATTTTTTAGACAAGCAAAAAACATTGACTTGTTTTAGGAAATAATATGCCAAAATTAAGTGAGTTTTTCCTTAAAACATGGAAAAAATAATCTTGTTTTTTCTTTTGACATGGTTATTTTGCTTGTTTTAAAGAAAAAGAGCCTAATTTTGACATATTATTTCTTAAAACAAGACATATGTTTTGCTTGTCTAGAAAATGCTTCTTGATTTAGGATTTCTTTATTTCTTTTTTATTTTTTGATATTTAGAATAGAAACGACAAAAATATCTAATATGTCAACATTTTACAGCAATAAGATAAATTTAGAACCAGAGAATTAAAATTTATTTTAAAATGAACTTGCAGTTAAAGGCTAAACTAAGAAAAATACTAATAACTTAATAATTCGGTCACATTTTATTTCGATGGTCCGTTTGTTACATTGCATCTACATGTCAACCAATTCTCAATAGATTTTAAGTAGACTGTTGGTTGGGTAAGGGTTAGTATGAGTTGACATATACTTGCTAAGTTTCTTATAGTCAGTTAAATGTCTGTTAAAGGAGCAGTATCAGCAGATAATAAGCAGACAGTCTACTAATACTCAAATGGACCAACAAAATATAGTGTTACCCTAAATTCTTTAGTCTTTGCCAAGAAGACAGTACAGTACATCAAATTTTACTAGTTATTACTTGTGCAATTTAAATATATTACACTGCTTAAAGTGTAATTTAAAGACTTAACTGGGTTAAATAGGTTAACTAATCAAGTTAAGGTAATTAGGCAAGTCATTGGACAACAGTGGTTTGTTTTCTTTTAATTTAGCAGGACTAATAACTCTGACTTCAACGTAAAGTGTATCAGAAGTTCAGTTTTAAGTTAAAAAAAAAAACTTGTTTGTCTATAATTCCATTAATTTCCTTCTCACAGGCTGTGGAGTGCCAGCCATTAAGCCTGTTATTAGTGGCTACAACAGAATTGTGAATGGAGAGAATGCAGTGTCTGGCTCCTGGCCCTGGCAGGTCTCTCTCCAGGTAACTTGTCTTAATTATGCAAAACTCTTATTAATCAACTAGAGTTTTTGTTGTTGTGTTGTTGTTGTTATAAACAAAACTGCATGATAAGGGCATTAAAACCAACAATGTTTTTACACAGCAATCCAATGGCTTCCATTTCTGCGGTGGATCCCTGATCAACCAGTATTGGGTTGTCACCGCTGCCCACTGCCGTGTTCAGTAAAAACCTTTATATTTTCATAAACTGAGTCTAAATATTGGTTTTATGCTTCACTTTTTTATATTTATTTATTTATATCACAACCATGACATTGAAAGAAAAGAAAAAGAAAAGGAAACTTACAAATAAAATACAGTAGGTGATACTTTAATATGGCCATTACTGAAGCTCTATGTACCGCCGCCGTTCTAAAGGAGAAAAATGTGTTTTTTAGGTATGACCACAGTTTGGGACTATGCCGCCAGGTGGCACAAAGGGACGAGATGCGAACGGACAGAAATAGCCTATACATTAGCTGTAAATACTCTGCTACTTGTAAATAAAAATAAACAATGAAACAAAGCATTATAATTCCTTCAATAATCATTAAAAAGACAACTAAGCTACAATATTTAAGATGACATTGACAGGATCAAACGTATGATTCCTTTTTAATATTAAGATATTTACTTTGAAATCTAAATGTATATTTTCCTGCCAATCTTGCTATTAAACACTTTGCATGAACATGCTGCCAGCAGCTGTGAAGCAGTGAAGCATTAATAAAATCCTTATTTTCGAAGGAGCAGAACAAATCATTGCACAGTTGGACGGGCGCAAAATAAAAATATAATTCATATATTTTTCTTGAAAAAATAAATTTAAACGAATATCATTTGCTATAATTTGTATTTTAATTCTAATGTATTTTTCGTTGGTCAGTTAACTGCTAGATAAAAAAGAATAACAAAATAAGCTTTGGGGTGAAGTGCTTCAAAACAAGTCTGCTATATGCTTTAGCACCAAAACAAGCTGTCGTGAGATTGTGTTGGTTTGTTAAATAAAATAATAATCTAGCCTAAACAAAATTAAAGTGATATGTCATTCCAGAGTTTCTGAGTTGACAGTGATAAAACAGAGTCGATCATATTTGTTCAGTCCATATGTTATCATTTAACATGAGATGCTTGGCAACATCTAAAAGAATAGCTCGATAAATCAAAGTTAACAGTGAGGCAAAACATTGTCATATTTTTAATGAATACGTTATCATTTGACATGAAGAGTTTGATAACACCCAAAGAGTACAAAATAGAAATAACTTTGAAGAAAACATTTTATTAAATAAAATTAAAATAAAGAAATAAATTTATTCTAAAGGCCAGGGAGTTCTTCAAATATTCAAATATTCTTCAAGTATTTAAGAAAGGGAGACCATTTGTCTTGCGTTTCGAGCCTCGAATCATGTATTTAATCTTTTCCAATTGAATGTAAGACATAACTTCATTTATCCAGCAAGCGTGTGCTGGAGGGTCTACTCTTTTCCACTTGAATAATATTAAACGTCTTGCTAGTAGAGTAGTAAAAGCAATAACTGAATGCATATCTTTACTGAGATCTATATTCCATGCTTCCAATTTAAACCTTGTTTTTCTGCTAGGGCTGGATATCACTATGTGATTCTTGGAGAGCATGACCGCGGCTCCAGCGCTGAGTCTGTTCAGGTTAAAAGCATCGCTAAGGTACAGTAACATCTTTAAGAGGACCTATTATGCAAAAATCACTTTTATAAGGCTTTTAAACACCGCTGTGTGACAACATTGTTCGAATTTAAGCAGCTTACTCATAATAAAATGTATTAATTCTATATTTATTATCACACTTGATAAAAGCAGTGTGCGGAAACACTTTGATTGACATTCTCCTGTACGTGTTATCAAAGGGGGAAAGCTCCGCCCACTAGTGATGATCTCTTCCTCATTGCATAAACAATCCTAAATGAGAAGCAGCCGTCTGCCATTTTAATGTCAGTGACTAATAAATGTGAAGTTTCACAAATGATAGCGTTAGTCCTATTTTGAATCTGTCACTATGCTGGCGCATAGGCATTTGTAGCTCCACCCTCTTTTGAAAAGTTGTCTGGAGCACAATATCAGTTGCATTTAAAGTGACAGTAATCCGAATGGCACAATTTGAATTAAAGCCTAAAAGGGGCTGTTTTAAAGAGTTATAAAAATATATCTGTGGGGTATTTTGAGCTGAAATTTCACATACACACTCTAGGAACATCAGAGACTTATTTTACATTTACATCTACTTTTTTCATCCCATTAAAATGATATTGGCCCAGAATACCTTTCATTTGACTCACTGTCTGCTCAACACATTATATTGTGAGCATCTGAAACCACAGAGATTTGTCATTATGATATACAGTACGTAAAAGTATTGCTTGCTTCCTTTAAAACAACAGTTTCTTAGAAACAGACACCTTTGTGTTTGAGCCACAATTTACTCTTTTTTTTTCTTTGTAAAGCCACAAGATTTGCATTTTTTAAATTTGCATTAAACGTGATGGATATCAGTGAAGCCTCTATAAAAACCAAAGTTCTCAGTAGATTTAAAGGTCATTCAATTGCTTACTACAAGAATTACTTGTAACCATTCAAAAGTACGAGGTCATTAAGATTTTTAAGAAATAATGGGCTTACTGTATGGCTTACTGTATTATTACTTACTCATATTCAGCAAGGATGCATTAAATTTATGATAAGTGCCAGTAAATGCATTTCAATGTTATACACTATTTCTGTTTCCAATGAATTCTGTTATTCTGAACTTTCAGTTCATAAAAGTATCCTGTATTTTCTACAGAATTTTGTTTCTACAAAAATACTAATCAGCAAAACTGTTTTCAGTCTAATAAGTTCATAAGAAATTTTGCTTTATGGCATTAAATCAGCATATTCATCAGCATATGATTTCTGAAAAACAGTGTCACTCTGAAGACTGGAGAAATTGGACACACTCTTTTCAAATCAAATCAAATCAAATCAAATAGGGGCAGGATAGTGGCTCAGTGGTTAACACTGTTACCTCACAACATGAAAGTCGCAAGTTAGAGTCCCAACTGGGTCAGTTGCGCATTTCTTTGTGGAGTTTGCATGTTCTCCTTGTGTTTGTATGGGTTTCCTCCGGTTGCTCCGGGTTCCCCCACAGTCCAAAGACATGGGCTATAGCTGAATTGGATGAACTAAATTAGAAGTAGTGTGTGTGTGTGAGTGTATAGATTTCTTGTTACTGAGTTGCTACTGGAAGGGCATCCGCTGAATAAAACATATGCTGGAATAGTTGTTCATTCCAGTCCATTCGGCTGTGGCAACCTCCAAAAAATAAAATAAAATAAATATAACTTGGAATTGTAGACTTAATAACTTTGACTTGTGATAGCCTTTATATTCTGCTACTCTCTAAGGATTTGAAGTGCTTCTTGTATCCTCATTTATCATTTAAGTCCACATTAAGTCTCTTTGGATAAAAGCATCTGCTAAAAGAATATATTTAAATGCAAAGTTCTGCAGAAATGTAAGCTTTGCAATTATAGGAATAAATAATTTCTGTACTTTGAGTCACTATCTGCAAGTATCGCTTGCTTCATTTCAAATTGTTTGAGTCAAACTGTCTCCTTTTTATATAGGCAAGTCATTTTATATCAGTGGTTTGTTCTGTAGACAATCGAAAAAAAATGTTTAAGGGGGCTAATAGTATTGACCACAAAATTATTTAAAAAAATAATAAAAACTGCTTTCATTCTAGTTGAAATAAAACAAACAAGACTTTCCCCACACGAAATAATATTATAGGAAATTCTGTGAAAAATCCCTTGCTTTGTTGAACATCATTTAGGATTTTTTTTTTTTTTAATTAAATTAAATTTATAATTTTAATAATTCACTTTAGCTGTCTGTAGGTCATTCTTTGGTAACTCACAGTGCATTAATTTTAACAAGTTTTGACTTTGGATTTTAATAATTCATTAGTAAATGTTGGAACCATAATAAATGCTGTACTAGTATTGGTTATTACTTATTCACGTTAGCAAATGTATTAGCTAATAAAAGCTTATTGTAAAGTGTTAACATTTAAATTAAACAGACAATATGTTTTCTTCCACTCTAGGCCATCACTCATCCTTACTACAATAGTCAGAACTTCAACAATGACATTACCCTGCTGAAACTGTCCTCTCCAGCCCAGCTGACGTCTCGCATCTCTCCTGTGTGTCTGGCGGCCTCCTCCACCAGCATCCCATCTGGAACTCGCTGCGTCACCACTGGATGGGGCAAAACTGGAAGCACCTGTAAATATAGCTCAATTAATGCCAATTCAATACCTGTCACACAATGACTATGCCTTAGATTTTCTTCTTTTGTTTTCACAGCAAGCCCTCGTATCCTGCAGCAGACCGCATTGCCTCTTCTGAGTCCAGCTCAGTGTAAGCAATACTGGGGCCAGAACAGAATCACAGACGCCATGATCTGTGCTGGAGCCTCCGGTGTCTCCTCTTGCCAGGTATGTCATGCTAGATTTACATTGGAAATGTACTTTTCTACTGAGTGAAAGTATTTGCCCCCTGTTTAATACTGTTTAAAAGTAGCACACATTTCTAACATGTACACAGTCTGCCCTATTAGATATGAAAAAATAGACTGTTTGAAAATAACTTTGCATTTACATTCGATAGCTAAAATCTTAAAATCTCTTAATCTTTAGAAAGTTTAATACAATTTTTACAAAATTAAAATATCAATAATAATAAAAATAAATGTGTCAAAATTAATAGTTTCATCAGTGCACCCCGATGCAGATGGGGACTATTCAATATCGATTCAGTCATAGATCATAACCAGTTGTTTTGTTCTGACGTCATTTATCTGCTATGCGTGATGTTGCAGTCGAATACTATGGCGAAGGAGGTGAGAGCGAGTAAATAAAACATAGGAGTTAAACTTAAAAGGTTGATTATTATGCACAGTTCCACTGCTTGTGAGTTTGCTGGAAAGTCTTTCATTAACACTGAAGAAGGCACAGCCAGTGGCGGTTCTAGATTAAATGGCAACCTGGACAAATTACCCCATATCAAATACATCAACCCCATTTTCATTTACATTCAACCCCATTTACTATATTTATTACTTTATTGCAAATAAATAAAATCAATATTATTATTATTATTATATTAATTAATATTATTATTTTTATTATTATTTTTTTCTTAATAAATAACAGAAATCAATCCTAAATGTTACTGGAAAACAATGTAAAAACACAACTGGAGTGAAATGTTAAGATCTATTAACAAATCTTTTGCATGAATTTAAAAGACAATTATATAGAATACAAAAAAAATATTTTAGGTAATTATTATCTATTGTCTTAGACCCGACTGATGGCTGAGAATTAATTATTAAGTAATTATTTATTAATTAATTATTAAGTCTTACCTCTCTGACTCATTATCTCTCCTTTCTGCTTCATAGCCATGCTTAGTCAAAATAAGATCATCATCATATTGTAACTGTAGTCGACTTGCAAAGCTCGCTGTGTGCCGACACCTCTGCATAAAAGTTGCTCTGGTTTCACAGCATATAAGCGGCGTGAATTTTATCGGAGTGCATGTAAACAACTGGTATTCACATCGAGAGCAGAGCAGCAAGTGAGGCGCACGGGAATGGTTTTCTGTGTGCATCAGTTTGCTTTCACCAGTGCTGTTTTAGTTGCACATAGAGAAAAACAATCTTGTGCATACAAAAGACAGCAAATGTGAATGGCCTCTAATATCTTATTCTGATATTCCCACTCCAAATAAATCTCAAAGCTTTTACTGAGGCTCTTTTCTTTTTTTTTTTTTTTTGCTGTAAAAAAGCCACGTGTCGCCCCCAGCAAGATGCCACCCTGGGCGATCGCCTATATTGCCCATGCCTAAATCCGCCACTGGGCACAGCACACGAGCTGCTAATTCACTACTACAAATGCTGTAAAAATCCACCTTACTTTAGACGTTTGACCTGCTGGCGTGTTCGTGACGTAACTTTTTCTCTCCTCTTGGCTGTTAAAGCAATACTTGTGGATCCAGACATGAGCGTGCCTGAGGTACAAGTTTTCTCCACTGAGTCTATTATGAATTATTTGTCATAACCGCCTATTTTGTGCATATAGACTGTAACTGCGGCTGTTCGTTCTGGGTCACTCATCGGTGAACATCGATTTCATTTCTGAAGTCAATCGCAGCCCTTTCTATTGAGCGGGTGAAGACAATGACCGATCACAGTGGTGTAAGACCTCGCTTGACAGTGCTTAAAAAGCAAGCGGGATAATATTTACATTAGTTTATTTGCTATAAATGCTTACGCTGTCTTCTGTGCATGTATTGGAGTTTTGTCTAAAACATTCAAAACCCGTGTTTTCTTTGAGCAAGTAAAATTAAAGGTACAGTTCATATATCTTAAGGCGTGTATTAAAGAACAAATCTGTATTACAAATAATATGTAAATATATTGGTAGATTTGAATAAAAAAAAATCTTGTATTGTAAAGAAAAAATCTAATTGTGTATGGAAAGCACCGTCAATGCACCATGATGTCAAATGAACCGAATTGTAGGTTCACACCTCTAATATATAGCATTTTCTTCCCAAAAAAATGGTTTGGTTTCAATCTTTTTTCACAGATTTAATTAAATTACATTTTTCATTTTAATATAACACCTGGAATATCTTCAGTTTAATTGTGAGGAAACGTTTTTGCCACCTTATCCTGAATTTGTGGGACAATTTTCTTAATTTTGTTTTATTTAATTTACAGTGTACATACATTAATTAATCCTTAAATGATCGTATATGTGTCTGTGTGTCAACTACAGGGTGATTCTGGTGGTCCTCTGGTGTGTGAGAGCTCAGGTGCTTGGTATCAGGTTGGCATCGTGTCCTGGGGCACCAGTGACTGCAATGTTCGTACCCCTGCCGTCTATGCTCGCGTCTCTTACCTTCGCCAATGGATTGACCAGATCGTTGCCTCCAACTAGAGCTCTTGCTCTCTGAAGAAAATGCCAATAAAAACTAAAAAACTATGCTTAATGACTCAGTCAATTTAAACTGTAGTTAAAACACAAATTAATTTGTGAATTGTGAGGTCCCGGAACAGATCGGAGCAACGGATCCGGCATGAGGAGGGCAGTTGAGGAGGGGATTGGTAAAATCAGGTGCCAGATCCTGTGTGTTCTGGCACAAATTAAGCCCTGGCCGCAGCTCTGAGCAGTTTAGTTCCAACCCTAATCAAACACACCTGGGGCCTGTTTCAGAAAACAGGTTAAGTTAAAACTCAGAGTAGTTTAACCCTGAAATGAGAGAAACTCTGGGTTTTCCGTTTTAAGGTTTGTTAAACTCGAGAAAGCAGGGTAAGTCAAGCCTGTTTCTAAAAGAGAGTTAACTTTAACTCAGATTCAGTTACCGTGGTAACTTACTCTGTGAATCTAACCTGGTCCTAAGCAGGTTTTATTCTCTAAAAGTTTCTGTCGGTCTCCTCCTTTTTTTAAAGATAGGCGGTATTTCTCGCATTAGTCTTACATTTCCACACACCTATTTTAGAGCTCATTTTGGAGATGTGCATAAAAAAGATTGATGGAAACGTCATGATTCACATAACTTTTGAAAATACGCATAATAAAACTTGAGCATAACTGAGTAGGTTAAACTTTTATTTGATAAGATGCACATAAACTACGAAGTGCACTTAACAAATTACAGTAGGCTATGTACATAAAAAAATGGTTTGTTAGAGATGATGATGGAAATGTGTGTGAAAGGACAAACCAGCAGACTGAGCACACTGCAGAACATCTTAAATGTTGTTTTACACTGTAAACGATTTCTTGTTAAATTAACAGTAAGTTACTGGCAACAATTATCCAGTAGCTGCTGTATTTCATAAAACAGTAACATTACTGTAATACTAATTACATTAGTATTACATTTACTGTAAAATGTAATACATCATTTTACTGTTGTTGATTTTTACTGTAACACTAATTACAGTAGTGGTGCACATACTGCAAAACTGAAAACAGTATTTTATTGTACATTTTTACCATGAAGAACTACGGTATTTTAACGTTACTTTCATTATTACTGTATAGTATTTTACAGTTATTAAATGTTATTTTATTATATTTAATAGTGCTACTTTATAATGGGTAAAAAATTTTCAAAAATTGCACAATTGTTATTTTAACTGTTCAAGACGTACAAGAAAAATAAAGAAACTGAAACTTTAACTTCACAATAAAGGTTTATTGTGTAAACCATGCTAAAACAGTAGCAGTAATTCAATATAACAGAGAAACAGAACACTAATAAACAATTGATCATTTAAACCAGTCAACAATTAATGCATCAAAAATTATTACAATTTTAAAAACAGGTGAAAATACTGCTACAAGACAGGAAATGATGAAGGCCAAATGATGTGGAAAGGGACAGTGAAAAAGGGCAGCAGCATGATGATGATCCTGCAAAAATGACAAGCAAAATCAATCACTGAAGTAAAAACTAATCATGCCTCAAACCATTTAATTCATTCAGAAACGAAACACTGCACTGCAGTTTATATATATATATATATATATATATATATATATATATATATATATAAAACAGTTTTTTAATTGTTTTTGTTGGTGAAATACAGTTTGTTGTCAACGTTAATGGGGAAAAGATCAGCGGGCATTGTTCTTGAAGATGGCTAGTCAGGTGTCCACACAGGTGTGTAAAAAATAAAGTCTCATCTTAACTTAATGTCCGACTCTGTATAGCTTGAATATCTGATTCTATGATCACACAACTAGTGCTTCCACGGATTTAAGAGGGGTGAACACAGTTCATTCTCACTTTAAGAGGCTACATATTTAAAATTAAATAAATAAAATAATGTAATTTAACGTGACTAATGTTAATTAAATACTTTTAGGCTTTTAACAGGTATAAATCCACTTCTAACTTACAGACAAGATTGCGTTAGAGAACATGAAAGCTGTGGGTGATTTTTTTTTAAATAATGCTAATGATAAGTTACTGATATTTGGTTTGCATAAAACAAAGTAATCACTAAGCATTCATTTTTGGCAAAATCTGCAGAGAGGCTCAGCGACACGAGGAAATGTGTTAAAGTTGAGTAGAGAACTAAAGAGCAGTCTAGCCTACTTCATGAAATATTTGTGGTAATATTCTGCTGTCAATTCGTATTACGGTATTTCAATATGCAGCAGTGATGGCATGTAAGCGAGACAAATAAACATTTTATCGAGTCATTTCATACAATTTATTTATTGATTTATTTTTTATACGAACACTTCTCCAGTGACATTTCCTCAAACTAAATCATCATAACGTTACTGTGCACAGCATCAGTAAAACGTTGAGAATAATTTAAATACTTAATTTTTTAAAACAGTCGCTGCTGATTACAAACTAACATTAAATCTAAGCTTACAGAAATCCTGTATGCATGACAATATAAAGATGTATTACTCACTGATGTCGAAGCACTTCCAGGTCATCAGAGATGTAGACAGGGCAGAATATGTGCTATCAAATGAGCTCTTGTGCAGCCTTTGTTGGACATCCAGGTAGTATGTTCACCCACACTGTAAGAAACAAAAACAGAAACAATTTATTAAAATGTGAGGGATAGTAAACATGTTTGGTCTACAGAGAGAAGAAAATGTTTACTTTAAGCATTGATCCTAATGAATCTATTTCTCAACTACATTTAACCTTATCACGGAAACAGCATTTTTGAGCTTTTAGACCAGGGGTGCTCAACCTTGTTTGCTTTAAATTAGAATTAAAACAATAAATCTCTATGTCAAATAAAATACTTCAGATCTAAATAAAGCAGGTGCTTTTACCTAAAGGTTCCTTCCCTCCAGTTAGTTTGGCTGCAAATCCCTCCACATCTGTGCTTTATTCGGTTCTTGTCTTAAGAGTAACTGGTGTCGCATTCCAGGTCCATCACAATTTGGGCTAGAAGGACAATATGACAAAAGACAAGACACATATAAATAAAAGTCTCAGAATAAAATATTTAAAGGAATAGTTTACTATTTTGCCACTATTTACTCCACGTGTTTTAAACTAGTTTGAATTTCTGTTAAACACTAAAGCAGATATTTTGAAGAATGTTAATAACCAGTAACTATTGACATCCATATTTGAACCAAATTTCTTTAAAAAATACGAGTTTGTGTTCAACGGAACAAATTAAATGTATAACTATTTTGAAACAAGTAGAGGATGCCAAAGATGCTATTATTTTCATTTTTAGGTGAACTGTCCCTTCAATTCAAGTGTCAAGCAATAGTCATAAAAACTGATGTGTTGCTTGAGGAAAACTAAATCAAGTACCTTCTGTGAACAAGCAGAATCATTATGCCATTGTATTCAGTGATTCTCTTTTACATTTTCCCACTATAAAACGATAGCTTCAACATGCAATCCATGTTAAAACAAAAATGAATAGCATAAAATAACATATTGAACTAAACTTACAGTTTCCAGTTCCATACGCCAAGTAAAATTGCTAATAAACAAAGACTGGTGTTTTAACACCAGATTTTTTTTAATCTTAGGAACTGCTGGAAGAAGAAAAAGAGGTTTTACATGAAACTCCTCATAACAAATCTGTGAACAACTTGACATTTCAAAATCTAATCAAAATGAGGAAGACATCAACATTACCTTGAATAATCAAGTGAGGAGTGATTGGTAGCATCAGTTTTTCAACATCAATTACTGTAGCTGAAAAACAGATAAATATAATAAGAGTAAAATAAGACTTAACATTAATTAATCTAAATCTATGGTACAACGATACCAATCTGTATGGGGTTAAAATACATTTGTACACAAATCATTCAATGACCCCATCAATTTCTCTTAGAATAGGATATATATATATATATATATATATATATATATATATATATATATATATATATATATATATATATATATATATAGTGATAATGACTTTGGCTTATATCTGTGTACTCAGAACGTACACTCACCTCAGGTACACCTGAACAGCAAAAATTAAATGTACAATTAATGACACACTATAAGTCAAGCTCATTAACATTATTGAGAAATAGAAAATAAATATGTATTTTGTTAATATTAACCTTAGCTTAAAATAATTCAACTGCATTTAATTTTCAGCTCCATTTAATAAAACAGTTAAGACTCATTTCATTATGAGTTTAGTTTAACTTAAATAACTAACTTACAGTTGAAAAATGTTACCATAATGATAGCTTAGTCAAAATGATTATGTGAAGACCAGAGCTTACCTTAACGGTAAACGTTTAACTTTTCATGGTGACTTCGCCTTCATTTCAGTGTTGTGCTGAAATAGAGAATTCATTAATGCAGTTAAGTTACAATAAGTTAAAGTTATGTTTTTTCAGGTAACTTAACGTATGGTCAAAAACTTACTCAAGATAAACTCACTGTATCTAATACCTCGCAAACACTACAATGACCGCCTGGCGTCTGTTATTTCTTGTTTAAAATACCATTTGTTAACGGACAGCGTGACATAACATAAGAACCTACAACTAATGTCACTTGGTTAATTCTTTTAAATTACACACACAATACACAGAAATACTTATAAAACAATCCTTTAACGGACAGAATTTGACTTTAAAACACTTACCGAGGATGAATTCGCTGGATGAAAGACGACAGGTGAATTTCAAATTAGGAGAGCCGTTGCCTGCATGTCGAGTCGTGTCCGTTCGGTTCTATGAATCGGCTCCTTAGTGAACAGTAAAGAATCGAATCCGCCTAAAATTGATTCCTTTTAGTATATGATTCATTACTATTTCGTTATACTGCTTGGCCACACGCATTTATACACTAATTATACACTAATTGCATATTGCTGAATGTGCTTGTGAACAAGTGTGATCAAATAGTTCCCGAGCAAACGGTTCAATTCGGTTCAATACGAGTCGCTCGAGTGCTGAACCGAACCAGTGCAAACGTGATATTGATTACAATATAGTAACAT